TGGAGCAGGTTTTCATCAAGGATCTCTCTGTTAATCTTTCCCTCGATCCTGACTAGTCTCCCAGTCCCTGCCGCTGAAAAACATCCCTCCAGACGTGACGCTTGGCATTCAGGCCAAAGAGTTCAATCTTGGTTTCATCAGACCAGAGAATCTTGTTTCTCATAGTCTGAGAGTCCTTTAGGTGCCTTTTGGCAAACTCCAAGTGGGCTGTCATGTGCCTTTTTTCTGAGGAGTGGCTTCTGTCTGGCCACTCTACCATAAAGGCCTGATTGGTGGAGTGCTGCAGAGATGGTTGTCCTTCTGGAAGGTTCTCCCATCTCCGCAGAGGAACTCTGGAGCTCTGTCAGAGTGACCATCGGGTTCTTGGTGACCTCCCTGACCAAGGCCCTTCTCCCCCGATTGCTCAGTTTGGCCATGCAGCCAGCCCTAGGAAGAGTCTTGGTGGTTCCAAACTTCTTCCATTTAAGAATGATGAAGGCCACTGTATTCTTGGGGACCTTCAATACTGCAGACATTTGTTGGTACCCTTCCCCAGATCTGTGCCTTGACACAATCCTGTCTCTGAGCTCTACGGACAATTCCTTCGACCTCATGGCTTGGTTTTTGCTTTGACATGCACTGTCAACTGTGGGACCTTATATAGACAGGTGTATGCCTTTCCAAATCATGTCCAATCAATTGAATTTACCACAGGGGGACTCCAATCAAGTTGTAGAAACATCTCAAGGATGATCAATGGAAACAGGATGCACCTGAGCTCAATTTTAAGTCTCATAGCAAAGGGTCTGAATACTTATGTAATAAGGTATTTCTGTTTTGTTTTTTTATACATTTGCAAAAATTTATAAAAACCTGTTTATTTTATTAAATCCATTATAGAATAAGGCTGTAATGTAACAAAATGTGTAAAAAGTAAAGGGGTCTGAATACTTTCTGAATGCACTGTATATAAAAAAATTCAGTGGCAGCCACAGTTTATCAGCGGCAGTGCGCCGCTGCTAAATGCACATAGGGGAAACACTGCTCCCTTCTCCTCCCCCTTACCCCTAACCCTTTGCTGTTTGCAGATATGAAGGGTCTGGATAGATACAAGCAGTGTAGTGGTGGATCTGAAGGGTCTGGAGAGGTATAAGCAGTGTAGTGGTGGATCTGAAGGGTCTGGAGAGGTATAAGCAGTTGGAGATTTCACCTTATACAGTGAGGGAAAAAAGTATTTGATCCCCTGCTGATTTTGTATGTTTGCCCACTGACAAAGACATGATCAGTCTATAATTTTAATGGTAGGTTTATTTGAACAGTGAGAGACAGAATAACAACAACAAAATCCAGAAAAACACATGTCAAAAATGTTATAAATTGATTAAAATTTTTATGAGGTAAATAAGTATTTGACCCCTCTGCAAAACATGACTTAGTACTTGGTGGCAAAACCCTTGTTGGCAATCACAGAGGTCAGACGTTTCTTGTAGTTGGCCACCAGGTTTGCACACATCTCAGGAGGGATTTTGTGCCACTCCTCTTTGCAGATCTTCTCCAAGTCATTAAGGTTTCGAGGCTGACGTTTGGCAACTTGAACCTTCAGCTCCCTCCACAGATTTTCTATGGGATTAAGGTCTGGAGACTGGCTAGGCCACTCCAGGACCTTAATGTGCTTCTTCTTGAGCCACTCCTTTGTTGCCTTGGCCGTGTATTTTGGGTCATTGTCATGCTGGAATACCCATCCACAACCCATTTTCAATGCCCTGGCTGAGGGAAGGAGGTTCTCTCCCAAGATTTGACGATACATGGCCCCGTCCATCGTCCCTTTGATGCGATGAAGTTGTCCTGTCCCCTTAGCAGAAAAACACTCCCAAAGCATAATATTTCCACCTCCATGTTTGACGGTGGGGATGGTGTTCTTGGGGTCATAGGCAGCATTCCTCCTCCTCCAAACACGGCCAGTTGAGTTGATGCCAAAGAGCTCCATTTTGGTCTCATCTGACCACAACACTTTCACCCAGTTCTCCTCTGAATCATTCAGATGTTCATTGGCAAACTTCAGACGGCCCTGTATATGTGCTTTCTTGAGCAGGGGGGCCTTGCGGGCGCTGCAGGATTTCAGTCCTTCACGGCGTAGTGTGTTACCAATTGTTTTCTTGGTGACTATGGTCCCAGCTGCCTTGAGATCATTGACAAGATCCTCCCGTGTAGTTCTGGGCTGATTCCTCACCTTTCTCATGATCATTGCAACTCCACGAAGTGAGATCTTGCATGGAGCCCCAGGCCAAGGGAGATTGACAGTTATTTTGTGTTTCTTCCATTTGCGAATAATCGCACCAACTGTTGTCACCTTCTCACCAAGCTGCTTGGCGATGGTCTTGTAGCCCATTCCAGCCTTGTGTAGGTCTACAATCTTGTCCCTGACATCCTTGGAGCGCTCTTTGGTCTTGGCCAAAGGTGGAAAGTTTGGAATCTGATTGATTGATTGCTTCTGTGGACAGGTGTCTTTTATACAGGTAACAAGCTGAGATTAGGAGCACTCCCTTTAAGAGTGTGCTCCTAATCTCAGCTCGTTACCTGTATAAAAGACACCTGGGAGCCAGAAATCTTTCTGATTGAGAGGGGGTCAAATACTTATTTCCCTCATTAAAATGCAAATAAATGTATAACATTTTTGACATGCGTTTTCTGGATTTGTCTGGTCTCTCACTATTCAAATAAACCTACCATTAAAATTATAGACTGATTATTTATTTGTCAGTGGGCAAACGTACAAAATCAGCAGGGGATCAAATGTTTTTTTCCCTCACTGTAGGTCTGCAAACATCAAAGTTAGGGCCAAGGGGAAGGACAGAGAAACAAAGAGGGGCAGAGAGGGAGTGACAGGCAGAGGGGGAGAGAGGAAGAAAGAGGGGAAGAGAGGGAGTGACAGGCAGAGAGGGAGAGAGAAAGAAAGAGGGGCAGAGAGGGAGTGACAGGCAGAGAGGGAGAGAGAAAGAAAGAGGGGCAGAGAGGGAGTGACAGGCAGAGAGGGAGAGAGAAAGAAAGAGGGGCAGAGAGGGAGTGACAGGCAGAGGGAGAGAGAAAGAAAGAGGGGCAGAGAGGGAGTGACAGGCAGAGAGGGAGAGAGAAAGAAAGAGGGGCAGAGAGGGAGTGACAGGCAGAGAGGGAGAGAGAAAGAAAGAGGGGCAGAGAGGGAGTGACAGGCAGAGGGAGAGAGAAAGAAAGAGGGGCAGAGAGGGAGTGACAGGCAGAGGGAGAGAGAAAGAAAGAGAGGCGGAGAGAGAAAGAAAGAGGGGCAGAGAGGGAGTGACAGGCAGAGAGGGAGAGAGAAAGAAAGAGGGGCAGAGAGGGAGTGACAGGCAGAGAGGGAGAGAGAAAGAAAGAGGGGCAGAGAGGGAGTGACAGGCAGAGGGAGAGAGAAAGATTCAAATTCAAGGTGGACCAGTTAGAAGGAAAACTGTTCTGTTTGTCAGTCATTGAATACCCCTGACCTATGACCTCTCTACTCCAGATACCCAACCCCCCAGATGACCTCCCTCATCTGTCCCCTCAACACAGCAGAACAATAGGGGTCCCCCCACTCCCCACTCCCCACCTGTCATATAGTAGTTGTCTGCTAGGATCCAGTCATTTCCTTTATAGATGGCCGCTGAACTAAAATGTCCTACGACAATTACCCAGATACCACATAAGAACCCTTATCCCTCCCCTCACACACATTTGAATCCTTCTTCTATTGCACCTAATTGACATATGTGCCTCTCTCCCTCTTCCCCCATCTCTCTATCCCCCCTCTCAAATTCTCACCCCCTCCCTCTCTATAATAATAATAATAATAATATGCCATTTAGCAGACGCTTTTATCCAAGCGACTTACAGTCATGCGTGCATACATTTTTGTGTATGGGTGGTCCCGGGGATCGAACCCACTACCTTGGCGTTACAAGCGCCGTGCTCTACCAGCTGAGCTACAGAGGACCTCTATCCTTCTCCCCCCCTCCCTATCCTTCTCTCCATCCCCCTCTCTGCCTCTGACAAGCTAAGGCAAGTGTGTGACGTCTTCCCTACTCTTCCGCGTGTGTGTGTGTGCTGATGATTGTTGACAACACTACTTTGGTATAAAGGATTGTCATACTGTGATGCGAAAACAGATTTCACATATTTACATTTTACTAATTTAGCAGACGCTCTTATCCAAAGCGACTTCCAGTTAGTGAGTGCATACATTTTTCATACTGCCCCCCGTGGGAAACGAACCCACAACCCTGGCGTTGCAAGCGCCATGCTCTACCAACTGAGCTACAGGGGACTATATGCACACACAAAAAATAATATACCGTTAGATGCATGTAGAATTGTCCACATACAGTATAAATATTTATAAGCATCCCTGTGCTATGTTGCTGTAGCAGGCACAAAAGGAAGAACCATGCAATGAGTGTGCAATTGTGTGTATAGTACAGTATGTCTGCTAACCGACCAAGCTGAGGGCACAGAGTTTCTAAACCCAGAGACGCAACTTCGCGAGACTTCCGGGAACGCTTGCGAAACAGACCAGACCAGGGTTTGACAATTCAATTCTTCCTTAGTTCTTCCTTAATTTTCTTGAAATCTAAAGGCCCAACCTAGATTCGAGCCAATGTCTTATGTAGTTGAACACGTTATTATTCCAACCTCGTGAAAGTGACAAACTGACACGTTTTCATCTTCGTCAAAAACAACTTTATATCGAAGGAGTGCCTTTGTGGTGACGACCTGCACATGCGCAGTTTGGCGCGATACGACCGTTAGACCAGATGACGTGTTTATAAGCATGAGTTTAGCAAGCCAACGTCGCCTCGAAGTGTGATCGGGGATTTCTATTGGAGAATCAGTTTTAGCCTACCTTCATACTGTACTGTCTTTGGTAAGGGTAAGGCATCAGGGTACAGAAGCCATTGGAGAAAGCAGATGATTGCCGGAGTGCCGGGATTGGCTCTGCTCAGCTGTGACATCAGCAAGCTTCCTACTCCCTCCTCCTCCCTTGCGCCCTCTCTCTCTCGCTCTCTTTCTCTTGCTCTCAATTAAATTAAATTCAATTCAAAGGGCTTTATTGGCATGGGAAACATATGTTTACATTGCCAAAGCAAGTCTGCCTCTCTCGCTCAGTATTTTTCTCCTTTGCCTTTCCTCCTCAGCATCTACTTCTGATGCCGTGTGTCTGTGCTGCTGGGGCGACTGGGGCCTAACGCGCAGGGCCCTTCCCCCGATTCGCTGCACCTTCCCTGGGTCTCTGTCTCTGACACTTCCCCCTGCCTGTCAGCCTGCCTGGATACCTCCCCCACCCCCCGTAGGGAGCAACGACGTTCCGCTTCACTGGGGAGCCGTTCGGGAATTAGCAATGCCCAACCCCGGCATCCTTTAGCCACTTGGAATATCTCGGATTTCTGCATCCGTCCGTCTGTCTCGCTATCCATCTGTCGCCGGTCTCCCTCCATCCGTGGAGGGGGACAGAGGAATGAACTACTGCAACCATGATTCAAGGTAATTATTTGTGCCTCCTCCTTTCTATCCTCTACATCCTCCCTCTCTTCTCCTACCCGCTTATGCTAGTGCATGGTAATAAGCTATCTGGCACATCTGTGTGTTTGTTGCTTAGGCTAGCATATGTTTTTTCTACCTATAGTGTGATGACCTGGGGATTTGTAAAGGGAGGGTAGTGGTCCTCTGTAGCTCAGCTGGCAGAGCACGGCGCTTGTAACGCCAAGGTAGTGGGTTCGATCCCCGGGACAACCCATACACAAAAATGTATGCACGCGTGACTGTAAGTCGCTTTGGATAAAAGCGTCTGCTAAATGGCATATTATATTATATTAAATAGATGTTCACTCCACAGCTGTGTATGTAGCACTATGAGAGCGACGTCCGGCTCGGCAGGGTTGCTTTTGTGTATGTGTGTGTCTGGTGATGGCTGTGTGTGTAGTCAATAGTCGTGTCTCAAGGTTATACCCACTCTTGTGTCTCAATACTAAATGTGCTAGAATTCTGTGAGCTCTAGTGTATTATGTTCTAGACTAATGTATTGGCTGAAATAATGCCAACTCATTTCAGAATGTGTGAATCAGTTACCCATTCACCGATGGTCCTACCCATCATATCAAGAGGACATTTTCAAACCATTTTAATTTGTGTTTTCATTGTGACATTGGTTGGTCTATTCTCTATTTGTTATATGTCTATAACCCAAGCCATCATGGTAATGATAAAACATGGTAGATATTAAACAGTATAGTTGCATTCATTCACCATCAGCTAATACATCCCTCTCAGATCAGACATCATGTCAACACGGTAGGCATTGCTAACAAAACACATACACATATATGGTCTAACATTACTTACTTGCAGGTTGCTTAGGCCTGCTGAATGAATGGCTAACACAAGGAGTGTAATAGGCTTTATTGATAAAGATTATTTGTGAAGCATGCCATTGTATGATATGTCATTGACGACTGAACCATTTGTAGACTTGCATGCCAAGCTGGCAGCTCCTAGGCTCTAATACAATTCATCAATGAGAGCTATGGTAGTGTAAGTCTCAGTGCCCACGTGCAAGGTGCACTATGGGATTGGAAGGTCTTAGGGAACAGATAGGCAGAATGGACAGAAATAGAGATGGCTGTGAGACGCTATCCATAGTAGAGAGAGGGAGGGCTCTGCCTAGAGTTTCTCTGACTCCAGTTGACTGCTATTCAGTGCAGTGTTAGTGTACAATGTTTTATTAAGTCGTCTATTAAAGAATTTGGAGTGGAGAGGGAAAGTTAAATAGTCTAAAGTAACTTCATCCCCAAGAAGTACCCTCTCCTTTTGTCACTGGCCTTAAAAAACATTGGGCATTGGTGAAAGCAATAGGGTAGATGGATGCTCCCTGTGAACTCGTCTCACCTGTCCAGCTCTTTCACATCAGTGCAAATGAAGGAAAAGGGACAAAGAGAGGAAGCCATGGGAGACTATTGAGATGCATTTTTTCTGCTCATTGTGCTTGGCATAAACTAGGCCTACACCAAAATATCAAAACAGCTGAATAGAATTCACCCTAGGAGGTTCCCCAGTAAAAATCTGGGGCTGCAGCGTACCATAATTACTATATACAGTGGGGAGAACAAGTATTTGATACACTGCCAATTTTGCAGGTTTTCCTACTTACAAAGCATGTAGAGGTCTGTAATTTTTATCATAGGTACACTTCAACTGTGAGAGACGGAATCTAAAACAAAAATCCAGAAAATCACATTGTATGATTTTTAAGTAATTAATTTGCATTTTATTTCATGACAAAAGTATTTGATACATCAGAAAAGCAGAACTTAATATTTGGTACAGAAACCTTTGTTTGCAATTACAGAGATGATAAGTTTCCTGTAGCTCTTGACCAGGTTTGCACACACTGCAGCAGGGATTTTGGCCCACTCCTCCATACAGACCTTCTCCAGATCCTTCAGGTTTCGGGGCTGTCGCTGGGCAATACAGACTTTCAGCTCCCTCCAAAGATTTTCTATTGGGTTCAGGTCTGGAGACTGGCTAGGCCACTCCAGGACCTTGAGATGCTTCTTACGTAGCCACTCCTTAGTTGCCCTGGCTGTGTGTTTCGGGTCGTTGTCATGCTGGAAGACCCAGCCACGACCCATCTTCAATGCTCTTACTGAGGGAAGGAGGTTGTTGGCCAAGATCTCGCGATACATGGCCCCTTCCATCCTCCCCTCAATACGGTGCAGTCGTCCTGTCCCCTTTGCAGAAAAGCATCCCCAAATAATGATTTTTCCACCTCCATGCTTCACGGTTGGGATGGTGTTCTTGGGGTTGTACTCATCCTTCTTCTTCTTCCAAACACAGCGAGTGGAGTTTAGACCAAAAAGCTTAATTTTTGTCTCATTAGACAACATTACCTTCTCCCATTCCTCCTCTGGATCATCCAGATGGTCATTGGCAAACTTCAGACGGGCCTGGACATGCGCTGGCTTGAGCAGGGGGACCTTGCGTGCGCTGCAGGATTTTAATCCATGACGGCGTAGTGTGTTACTAATGGTTTTCTTTGAGACTGTGGTCCCAGCTCTCTTCAGGTCATTGACCAGGTCCTGCCGTGTAGTTCTGGGCTGATCCCTCACCTTCCTCATGATCATTGATGCCCCACGAGGTGAGATCTTGCATGGAGCCCCAGACCGAGGGTGATTGACCGTCATCTTGAACTTCTTCCATTTTCTAATAATTGCGCCAACAGTTGTTGCCTTCTCACCAAGCTGCTTGCCTATTGTCCTGTAGCCCATCCCAGCCTTGTGCAGATCTACAATTTTAACCCTGATGTCCTTACACAGCGCTCTGGTCTTGGCCATTGTGGAGAGTTTGGAGTCTGTTTGATTGAGTGTGTGGACAGGTGTCTTTTATACAGGTAACGAGTTCAAACAGGTGCAGTTAATACAGGTAATGAGTGGAGAACAGGAGGGCTTCTTAAAGAAAAACTAACAGGTCTGTGAGAGCCAGAATTCTTACTGGTTGGTAGGTGATCAAATACTTATGTCATGCAATAAAATGCAAATTAATTACTTAAAAATCATACAATGTGATTTTCTGGATTTTTGTTTTAGATTCCGTCTCTCACAGTTGAAGTGTACCTATGATAAAAATTACAGACCTCTACATGCTTTGTAAGTAGGAAAACCTGCAAAATCGGCAGTGTATCAAATACTTGTTCTCCCCACTGTAGCTAGTTAGTTGGCTAGCTAGCACAAAATGGCAAGTTAGTATTTCTTGATCCAACCCAAAAATTTTACAAAGAGTTATATACACACATTGCCTTGTTGCTACCAGATCCACTAGACAAAATCATCAGACAACGTTTATTTCCTGTTTATTATCTATTTGCTCTTAGCTACATTTGGCTAGCACAGCAAATAACCACAGAGCTAGTGTGTTGTGAAGGTAGAGAAAGATCAGCTTACCTTGTTAGCCAGCAAGATAGATTAATTTCTCTCACGACAGCCAACAATATAACTAAACTAAATGTAACTGCCATACGAGTCCAGTGTTTGATGGCCACATTGTTTACATCAAAAGTTAGCTAGCAGCAGTAATTACCCCGCTATTAACCTTTCTCCCCCCTCACCAATCTGTCTCTCCTAGCTCTTCGTCTGCTTCCTCCAAAAGGCAATTATATTTTTCCCAGGTATATTGCCCACTTAGTTTCAATTAAGGAACATACTGCAGTTTTAATGAACCGCTAGCTTGTGCTAGGTGTGTATTATGAACCTCACATTACGAGATCTAGCTAGTGGTTTGTTTAATGTAGTAAAGCTGGACTATAATACAAATGCTAGCGCTGACAATGTTGAACTGCATATTAATTAAACCAGGATGATACATTTACATTTTTGTCATTTAGCAGACGCTCTTATTCAGAGCAACTTACAGTCGAGTGCATACATTTTTTATACCTTTTTTTTCATACCGGTTGGGAATTCGAACCCACAACCCTGGCGTTGCAAGCGCCATGCTCTACCAACTGAGCCACATGGGACCTATATATAACATGAAGCAAACAAATAGCAACTTTTTCAAGCAACGTATTTTTTTAATTAAATCAAAATAACCTTAAATTCATTTCTGCATACCCTCATGATAGTGATATTTGCTAATACTATCTGTCTCCTGTGCGTGTCATCCTTAATAAGGCCTTCCTTAATTACAAGGGTAGGGCTAGCGGACTAAACTCCAGTCCAGGAAGTTTATGATGAAAGTGGAGTTTAGTCCGCTAGGGTAGGGCTTGCATTAATCCATTTCATGATGGCATGTAAAGTACTGTGGTGTAGCTGTAGAAGTCAAATCTGGTATCCTTCAACATGGTTATCGTCATTAATTGAAAAACCCACACACTGATCTTGCCAGTATCGATCAGCCTTTTCTTTCAACTTATTAGCAAATGATTCCCACACACATACGTTATCTCAGTTGTGTGAGTGCTTTTCCAATTTCTAATAGTGGCATTTAAAATGGAGAAAGCATCTCAGCAAAATTCCCACGGGGGGCCAGTATGCAAAATAAAATAAAAATAATGTATGCACTCACTAACTGTAAGTCGCTCTGGATAAGAGCGTCTGCTAAATGACTAAAATGTAAATGTAAAATGTAAACAATGTGTGAGGATTTGTTAATCCTGTTTCAGTATAGAAATGAAAAGCCACATGTACAAGTGCATTGGACATGCCCACAAGGCCAATACTAATCCCATCACGTCTGCATTGGGCATGCATGCCATAAATAATCTCACATCCTCTGTAACCAAGAGGGTAGAGCACGGATAGTGGAGGCAAGAGACAAATACCCCGGAAAGTGACCACAGTAAAGGGTCACTTTTACAGTATTACTGGGCTGGAATAACAGACTGCACACACACACGCCCTATGGGTCCCCAGCCAACCCTATGGGTCCCCAGCCCACCCTATGGGTCCCCAGGCCACCCTATGGGTCCCCAGCCCACCCTATGGGTCCCCAGCCCACCTTATGGGTCCCCAGCCAACCCTATGGGTCCCCAGCCCACCTTATGGGTCCCCAGCCCACCTTATGGGTCCCCAGCCCAACCTATGGGTCCCCAGCCAACCCTATGGGTCCCCAGCCCACCCTATGGGTCCCCAGTATTAGGTTAGTCCACTTCTGCTCCAAAGTCACCTCAAACAGGACTGTACCAACATGGGTGCCCTCTGGGGGACATAGGCCCTGAGCTCTGAGCTGTGGCTGTGTCCACACATTAAACTGTATCAGGGTGTGTTGTTTTTTCCAGTCTCTTTGACTCTTTGACTCTTTGGTGGTCCTCTGTAGCTCAATTGGTAGAGCATGGCGCTTGTAACGCCAGGGTAGTGGGTTCGATCCCCGGGATCACCCATACGTAAAAATGTATGCACACATGACTATAAGTCGCTTTGGATAAAAGCGTCTGCTAAATGGCATATTATTATTATATTATTACAACACTGTATGATGCCAACCCTGGAGGGGGCTTGGCCTCAGTTTTGGCACAGAATGGCCGCTGTAGCTAGATTCCCCCACAGCACTGGCTCAATGGAGTGTTTCCATTGACCACTACTGGCTTTTCTATCCTTTCCGTTTAGTCTTTGGTTGTACAAATGTGGTGATTGTGTTCCTAAGTTACGCATCCTACCTTTGTAAATGTAGTGACCGCAATTTAATCTTCCTCTTTAGTAATTCATTTTATGCAACTTGTATAACAAAATGATTACTTCTGACATGGTTTGTTGTACTACACTCCCCTCCATATGTATTTGGACAGTGAAGCTAAAATTTTTAATGTGGCTCTATACTGCAGAATTTTGGATTTGAGATCAAATGTTTCATATGAGACAACACAGAATGCCACCTTTTATTTGAGGGTATTTTATACATATCTGTTTTACCATTTAGAAATGAAAGCACTTTATTGACAGTGCATTCCGAAATTATTCAGACCCCTGGACTTTTTCCAAATTGTACATTACAGCCTTATTCTAAAATGGATTAAATGATTTTTTCCCCCCTCATCAATCTACACACAATACCCCATAATGACAAAGCGAAAACAGGTTTGTAGAAACTTTAGCAAATTTATAAAAACATAAAAACATAAATACCTTATTTACATAAGTATTCAGACCCTTTGCTATGAGACTCGAAATTGAGTTCAGGTGCATCCTGTTTCCACTGGTCATCCTTGAGATGTTTCTATAACTTTTAATTGGAGTCAGTCCACCTGTGGTAAATTCAATTGATTGGACATGATTTGGAAAGGCACACACCTGTCTACAGTGCCTTGCAAAAGTATTCATCCCCCTTGGCGTTTTTCCTATTTTGTTGCATTACAACCTGTAATTTAAATGGATTTTTATTTGGATTTCATGTAATGGACATACACAAAATAGTCAAAATTGGTGAAGTGAAATTAAAAACATAACTTGTTTCAAGAAATTCTAAAACATAAATAACGGAAAAGTGGTGCGTGCATATGTATTCACCCCCTTTGCTATGAAGCCCCTAAATAAGATCTGGTGCAACCAACTACCTTCAGAAGTCACATAATTAGTTAAATAAAGTCCCCCTGTGTGCAATATAAGTGTCACATGATCTGTCACATGATCTCAGTATATATACACCTGTTCTGAAAGGCCCCAGAGTCTGCAACACCACTAAGCAAGGGGCACCACCAAGCAAGCGGCACCATGAAGACCAAGGAGCTCTCCAAACAGGTCAGGGACAAAGTTGTGGAGAAGTACAGATCAGGGTTGGGTTATAAAAAAATATCAGAAACTTTGAACATCCCACGGAGCACCATTAAATCCATTATTAAAAAATGGAAAGAATATGGCACCACAACAAACCTGCCAAGAGAGGGCCGTCCACCAAAATTCACGGACCAGGCAAGGAGGGCATTAATCAGAGAGGCAACAAAGAGACCAAAGATAACCCTGAAGGAGCTGCAAAGCTCCACAGCGGAGATTGTAGTATCTGTCCATAGGACCACTTTAAGCCGTACACTCCACAGAGCTGGGCTTTACGGAAGAGTGGCCAGAAAAAAGCCATTGCTTAAAGAAAAAAATAAGCAAACACGTTTGGTGTTCGCCAAAAGGCATGTGGGAGACTCCCCAAACATATGGGAGAAGGTACTCTGGGCAGATGAGACTAAAATGGAGCTTTTTGGCCATCAAGGAAAACGCTATGTCTGGCGCAAACCCAACACCTCTCATCACCCCGAGAACACCATCCCCACAGTGAAGCATGGTGGTGGCAGCATCATGCTGTGGGGATGTTTTTCATCGGCAGGGACTGGGAAACTGGTCAGAATTGAAGGAATGATGGATGGCACTAAATACAGGGAAATTCTTGAGGGAAACCTGTTTCAGTCTTCCAGAGATTTGAGACTGGGACGGAGGTTCACCTTCCAGCAGGACAATGACCCTCAGCATACGGCTAAAGCAACACTTGAGTGGTTTAAGGGGAAACATTTAAATGTCTTGGAATGGCCTAGTCAAAGCCCAAACCTCAATCCAATTGAGAATCTGTGGTATGACTTAAAGATTGCTGTACACCAGCGGAACCCATCCAACTTGAAGGAGCTGGAGAAGTTTTGCCTTGAAGAATGGTCAAAAATCCCAGTGGCTAGATGTGCCAAGCTTATAGAGACATACCCCAAGAGACTTGCAGCTGTAATTGCTGCAAAAGGTGGTTATGCACGCTCAAGTTTTCTGTTTTCTTGTCTTATTTCTTGTTTGTTTCACAATAATATATATTTTTAATCTTGAAAGTGGTAGGCATGTTGTGTAAATCAAATCATACAAACCCCCAAAAATCCATTATAATTCCAGGTTGTAAGGCAACAAAATAGGAAAAATATCAAGGAGGGTGAATACTTTCGCAAGCCACTGTATATAAGGTCCCACAGTTGACAGTGCATGTCAGAGCAAAAACCAAGCCATGAGGTCGAAGGAATTGTCCGTAGAGCTCCGAGACTGGATTGTGTCAAGGCACAGATCTGGGGAAGGGTACCAACAAATGTCTGCAGTATTGAAGGTCCCCAAGAATACAGTGGCCTCCATCATTCTTAAATGGAAGAATTTTGGAACCACCAAGACTCTTCCTAGAGCTGGCCGCCTGGCCAAACTGAGCAGCATCATGCTGTGGGGATGTTTTTCAGCGGCAGGGAGACTAGTCAGGATCGAGGGAAAGATGAACGGAGCAAAGTACAGAGAGATCCTTGATGAAAACCTGCTCCAGAGCACTCAGGACCTTAGACTGGGGCGAAGGTTCACCTTCCAACAGGACAGTGACCCTAAGCACACAGCCAAGACAACGCAGGAGTGGCTTCGGGACAAGTCTCTGAATGTCCTTGAGAGGACCAGCCAAAGCCTGGACTTGAACCCGATCAAACATCTCTGGAGAGACCTGGAAATAGCTGTGCAGCGACACTCCCCATCCAACCTGACAGAGCTTGAGAAGATCTGCAGAAAAGAATGGGAAAAATTCCCCAAATACAGGTGTGCCAAGCTTGTAGCGTCATACCCAAGAAGACTCGAGGCTGTAATCGCTGCCAAAGGTGCTTCAACAAAGTACTGTGTAAAGGGTCTGAATACTTATGTAAGTGTGACATTTCTAAAAACCTGTATTTGCTTTGTCATTATGGGGTATTGTGTGTAGATTGATGAGGGGGGGAAAAAACAATTTAATCAATTTTAGAATAAGGCTGTAACGTATCAAAATGTGGAAAGACTCAAGGGGTCTGAATACTTTCCGAATGTACTGTATCTAGTCCCCGCATTTAAAGAAGTCATAAGTATTTGGACAAATTCACTTATGACACATTTTGTTGTTGTTTTGGCTCTGGATACAATGGCTATGATGTTAAAGTGCAGACGGTCAGCTTTAATTTGAGGGTATTTTCATCAACCGTTTAGAAATGAAAGCACTTTTTGTACATAGTCTCCCCATTTTAGGGGACCAAAAGTATTGGAACAAATTAACTTATGTGTATTAAAGTAGTAAAAAGTTAAGTATTTGGTCCCATATTCATAGCACGCAATGACTATATCAAGTTTATGTCTGAATGGTAATGGGAAATAATGGGGGGGGTAAATTTGCATAAATGTATTGTGTCATTTTGGAGTCACTTTTATTGTAAATAAGAATATACTATGTTTCTAAACACTTAATCCTGAATGAATCGTGAATAATGATGAGAGACAAAGTTACAGAGGCATAAATATACTCCCCCCAAAAATGCTAACTTCCCATTGTTTTAATGGTGAGAGGTTAGCATGTCTTGGGGGTATGATATTTGTGTGTCTGTAACGTTCTCACTCATTATTATTCACGGTTCATTCAGGATTATCCGTAATTATGGTAACGTCCACATTAATGTAGAAGTGTTTAGAAACATATTCTATTGTTATTTACAATAAAAGTGACTCCAAAATGACACAATACATTTATGCTAATTTACCCCCCCCCCACCCACCCACTGTAACACATAAGTTAATTGAACTCAAATGGTTTGAGGAAACGAACCGGTTGCCTTGACTCATTTGAGTAAAGTAACTCAAACTATTTGAGTTATCAGCACTGAGATAGCCTACTCTCTCCAACTCACTTTCTCTCCCGCTACCCTTCTTTCCTTCTCCTTTAGGACTGAAAAAACGCACCAGGAAGGCCTTTGGGTTACGAAAGAAGGAGAAGGACACAGACTCCACGTGAGTGTGCACGAGTAGACAGTTTAACGAGCAGAATGAAGCACTGAGACATCAAAACATTGCATAATTCAGCAGCTACATCAGGATTTACTTTGGTAACACTTTATTTGGTTGTAAATCCATAGACATGCAGTTTCTATGTTGCTCTATGTAGAACATCAATAGATGGGATATCCAAATAAAGTTGTTTTATTTTTATTTGATACCTATTTGAGCGGTCATTCAAAACATATTTTTGAGTTTTACACCAATATTTTTCAAAGTAGTCTTACCTGATGATTCTGTCCTTTCCTTTGTTGTGTGTCTATACAGGGGCTCCCCTGACAAAGATGGAGTAAGTATGAGAAAGGTAGACTATGGGGTAAACAATCGATGTGATGTCATTGATACTCTTATCCTCACTCTTCTTTGTTTGTTTACTTCACTGTCGTTTAATGCATCTCATTTGTGAATAGTGCTGTTGTTGTTGTTGTTGTTGTTTCAAGCTATGGGTATATAAAATGCTTGTTGTTATGAGAGTTTCTCACTCACACGTTCCATTATCACAGAAAAAGACCAACGGGGCTCCAAATGGCTATTATGGGGAGATTGATTGGGACCGATATGTAAGTACATATGTACAACACAGTGCAGTAAGTAATCCCTCTATAGTGTCAGTGATTAGTAGTAATACAAAGGGTTAGTGAATAAGCAATAACAGGTAGTGACCCCCTGGTTGTCAAAACTCAAACTCATGACGTGACAAATGAATAGCATCTAATAACTAATGAGTAGTGACTAATAACTAATAAATAGTGACTAATGACTAATGAATGGTGACTAATGTCGAGTGACTAATGAATAGTGACTAATGACTAATGACTAATAACTAATGAATAGTGACTACTGACTAATAAATAGTGACTATTAACCAATGAATAGTGACTAATGACTAATGAATAGTGACTAATAACTAATTAATAGTGACTAATAACGCATGAATAGTGACTAATGACTAATGAATAGTGACTAATGAATAGTGACTAATAACTAATGAATAGTGACTAATAACTAATGAATAGTGACTAATAATTAATGAATAGAGACTAATTAATGAATAGTGACTACTAACTAACTAATAGTGACATAACGACCAATGAATAGTGACAAGCGACTAATGAATGGTGACTAATGACTAATGAATAGTGACTAGTGCCTAATAATTAATAACTAATGGCGTAACTAATCACTAGTGACCAGTGACTAATAGCTACTGACTAGTGACTAATGACTAATGGCGTAACTAATGACGTGACTAATACAAATTTAGAAAATATATAACAATTTCAGAACCGCTGATGCAATAATTTGCTTATAAAGATGTTTCAACCACAATGGGGAAACCACATTCTAAACGTTACTTCCCACAACCAGACGTCACTTCCGCTTCTGCTCCCTACGACTTTCCTGATTATGGCAATCAATCATCCTCATGTAACATTGAATTTGGATTCAAAATGTGATCTCTTTTTTCAGAATCGTACATTAAGTTTGTGTGAGTCTTAACAAACAAGCATCTTCAAACATCTCCATCTATAAAAAACACAGGACTGCAGTTTTTGTGTGCATTTCTTTAACCACAAGCATGAGAGAAGTGAATGTATTTGTTGTTACACGACGTCACAAACAATAATTTTACCACTTACATATTTACTTCCTGTTACAGGCCACTCCAGACGTGGACGCTGAGGGCTTCAGTCTCAGACCCGGAGAGGAGAGAGAAAATATCCTTTTAGATGATCAGATGTAGTCCATGTGGAATGGCTAGCTAGTTAGCGGTGCGCTAGTAGCGAGCATAGTGTAGGTGACGTCACCTGCCCTGAGACCTAGAGAGGTACTGTTGTCCTGCCCTGAGACCTAGAGAGGTACTGTTGTGCTGCCCTGAGACCTAGAGAGGTACTGTTGTCCTGCCTGAGACCTAGAGAGGTACTGTTGTCCTGTCCTGAGACATAGAGAGGTACTGTTGTCCTGTCCTGAGACATAGAGAGGTACTGTTGTCCTGTCCTGAGACCTAGAGAGGTACTGTTGTTCTGTCCTGAGACCTAGAGAGGTACTGTTGTCCTGTCCTGAGACCTAGAGAGGTACTGTTGTGCTGCCCTGAGACCTAGAGAGGTACTGTTGTCCTGCCCTGAGACCTAGAGAGGTACTGTTGTCTGCCTGAGACCTAGAGAGGTACTGTTGTCCTGCCCTGAGACCTAGAGAGGTACTGTTGTCCTGCCCTGAGACCTAGAGAGGTACTGTTGTCCTGCCCTGAGACCTAGAGAGGTACTGTTGTCCTGCCCTGAGACCTAGAGAGGTACTGTTGTCCTGTCCTGAGACCTAGAGAGGTACTGTTGTCCTGCCCTGAGACCTAGAGAGGTACTGTTGTCCTGCCCTGAGACCTAGAGAGGTACTGTTGTCCTGCCCTGAGACCTAGAGAGGTACTGTTGTCCTGCCCTGAGACCTAGAGAGGTACTGTTGTCCTGTCCTGAGACATAGAGAGGTACTGTTGTGCTGCCCTGAGACCTAGAGAGGTACTGTTGTCCTGCCCTGAGACCTAGAGAGGTACTGTTGTCCTGTCCTGAGACCTAGAGAGGTACTGTTGTGCTGCCCTGAGACCTAGAGAGGTACTGTTGTCCTGTCCTGAGACATAGAGAGGTACTGTTGTGCTGCCCTGAGACCTAGAGAGGTACTGTTGTCCTGTCCTGAGACCTAGAGAGGTACTGTTGCCCTGGTCAGACACCTAGAGAAGTACTGTTGCCCTGGTCAGACACCTAGAGAGGTACTGTTTCCCTGGTCAGACACCTAGAGAGTACTGTTGCCCCTGGTCAACACCTAGAGAGGTACTGTTGCCTGGTCAGACACCTAGAGAGTACTGTTGCCTTGGTCAGACACCTAGAGAAGACTGTTTCCCTGGTCAGACACCTAGAGAGGTACTGTTGCCCTGGTCAGACACCTTGAGAGGTACTGTTTCCCCGGTCAGACACCTAGAGAAGTACTGTTGCCCCGGTCAGACACCTAGAGAAGTACTGTTGCCTTGGTCAGACACCTAGAGAAGTACTTTTGCCTTGGTCAGACACCTAGAGAAGACTGTTCCCTGGTCAGACACCTAGAGAGTACTGTTGTCCCGGTCAGACACCTAAGAAGTACTGTTGCCCTGGTCAGACACCTAGAAGACTTTGTTGCCTTGGTCAGACACCTAGAGAGGACTGTTTGCCCTGGTCAGACACCTGAGAGGTACTGTGTTGCCTTGCCCGGTCAGACACGTAGAGAAGTACTATTTCCCTGGTCAGACACCTAGAGAAGTACTGTTGCCTTGGTCAGACACCTAGAGAAGTACTGTTGCCCTGGTCAGACACCTAGAGAAGTACTGTTGCCCTGGTCAGACACCTAGAGAGGTACTGTTGCCCTGGTCAGACACCTAGAGAAGTACTGTTGCCCTGGTCAGACACCTAGAGAAGTACTGTTGCCCTGGTCAGACACCTAGAGAAGTACTGTTTCCCTGGTCGACCACCTAGAGAGGTACTTGTTGCCCTGGTCAGACACCTAGAGGGAAACTGTTCACTTGGTCAGACACCTAGAGAGGTACTGTTGTCCCGGTCAGACACCTAGAGAGGTACTGTTGCCCTGGTCAGACACCTAGAGAAGTACTGTTGCCTTGGTCAGACACCTAGAGAAGTACTGTTGCCCTGGTCAGACACCTAGAGAAGTACTGTTTCCCTGGTCAGACACCTAGAGAGGTACTGTTGCCCTGGTCAGACACCTAGAGAGGAACTGTTACACTGGTCAGACACCTAGAGAGGTACTGTTGTCCCGGTCAGACACCTAGAGAGGTACTGTTTCCCTGGTCAGACACCTAGAGAAGTACTGTTGCCTTGGTCAGACACCTAGAGAAGTACTGTTGCCTTGGTCAGACACCTAGAGAAGTACTGTTTCCCTGGTCAGACACCTAGAGAGGTACTGTTGCCCTGGTCAGACACCTAGAGAAGTACTGTTGCCTTGGTCAGAAACCTAGAGAAGTACTGTTGCCCTGGTCAGACACCTAGAGAAGTAATGTTTCCCTGGTCAGACACCGAGAGGTACTGTTGCCCTGGTCAGACACCTAGAGAAGTACTGTTGCCCTGGTCAGACACCTAGAGAAGTACTGTTGCCCTGGTCAGCATTATTGTGCTTCTTTTGGTGATGAGTGTTAATGTGTGCAGAGGGTCCCTGGTTCACGCCCAACTCAGGACAGACAGGGGTGGCAGCTATGTTGTTACACAGGCAACAGTCTTGGTACACTGACTTCTAAGCTATTGACCTGTTTAGCTAGCTGAGCGACACATTGGCCCAGTGGATCTCAATGTTAAATAGGCCAAATCAATCAGACACCCTCTCTATCTCTCTCTATCTTCATGCTCTACATGTGAGTGAACCTGACCTGCAGGACCAGAAGAGGGGCAGCAAGTGAAAACAGTCACATTAGAGTGTTTCCCTTGCCTATCTTTGTTGCATCCAGCCTAGAACGTTTTTAATACTATTGGTTTCAATTGAAAATGTAGGTTTGTGTAACCCCTAGTCACTGGCCAAGGGTCAAATCAGCAATTGAGCCTGGTGACAAGGTAAGAGGTGAGGTAATATTCAGTGAGATGTTCTAGCTTCAACAGTGAGATAAATAGTAACCGTTAGGATTTGGGATTGCATAATCTGATCCTAGATCAGGCAGAAGGTCTACTTCAGTTTCAGCAGGAGCAGTGTAGTTAGTAGGGTAATCTGATCCTAGATCAGGCAGAAGGTACCCCTACACTACTCCTGTTGAAACTGCAGTAGACACCTAGAGAGGTACTGACGGTCAGACATGTAAGCTTTTATATCGCCGCACCATTTGTGCTCCAGAGACTATGAGCTTTGCGTCTGATAAAGTATCCATTTGTGTCTTTAGAACGGATGTATGCTAATGCTAATTATAAATGAGTTACCCGAACGATAGGGGACGGACAATCTTTACTCATTTATTTACTTAGAAATGCTTGGGCTGCTCTTTTGTCTACCTCTGTGCTAGTATTTCGTGACAGATTTGGTTATGGGTAATCTCTCGTGGACAGACGTACATAACATAAATGTATCTGATCCTAATCAAGGTTACACAAGATTTGGGATCTGGGTTTACGAGATGAGGTTATTGGTGCCAAGATTACCCCTGTGCACCTCTGTAATTCAACCCTTGATTTGTCTCTCTCCTTTGTGCTCATTCTCTATGTGCGCTATATTATTTAAAGGCCCAGTGCAGTCAAAAATGGGATTTTCCTGTGTTTTATATACACTGCTCAAAAAAATAAAGGGAACACTAAAATAACACATCCTAGATCTGAATGAATGAAATAATCTTATTAAATACTTTTTTCTTTACATAGTTGAATGTGCTGACAACAAAATCACACAAAAATTATCAATGGAAATCAAATTGATCAACCCATGGAGGTCTGGATTTGGAGTCACCCTCAAAATTAAAGTGGAAAACCACACTACAGGCTGATCCAACTTTGATGTAATGTCCTTAAAACAAGTCAAAATGAGGCTCAGTAGTGTGTGTGGCCTCCACGTGCCTGTATGACCTCCCTACAACGCCTGGGCATGCTCTTGATGAGGTGGCGGATGGTCTCCTGAGGGATCTCCTCCCAGACCTGGACTAAAGCATCCACCAACTCCTGGACAGTCTGTGGTGCAACGTGGCGTTGGTGGATGGAGCGAGACATGATGTCCCAGATGTGCTCAATTGGATTCAGGTCTGGGGAACGGGCGGGCCAGTCCATAGCATCAATGCCTTCCTCTTGCAGGAACTGCTGACACACTCTAGCCACATGAGGTCTAGCATTGTCTTGCATTAGGAGGAACCCAGGGCCAACCGCACCAGCATATGGTCTCACAAGGGGTCTGAGGATCTCATCTCGGTACCTAATGGCAGTCAGGCTACCTCTGGCGAGCACATGGAGCGCTGTGCGGCCCCCCAAAGAAATGCCACCCCACACCATGACTGACCCACCGCCAAACCGGTCATGCTGGAGGATGTTGCAGGCAGCAGAACGTTCTCCACAGCGTCTCCAGACTCTGTCACGTCTGTCACATGTGCTCAGTGTGAACCTGCTTTCATCTGTGAAGAGCACAGGGCGCCAGTGGCGAATTTGCCAATCTTGGTGTTCTCTGGCAAATGCCAAACATCCTGCACGGTGTTGGGCTGTAAGCACAACCCCCACCTGTGGACGTCGGGCCCTCATACCACCCTCATGGAGTCTGTTTCTGACCGTTTGAGCAGACACATGCACATTTGTGGCCTGCTGGAGGTCATTTTGCAGGGCTCTAGCAGTGCTCCTCTTGCTCCTCCTTGCACAAAGGCGGAGGTAGCGGTCCTGCTGCTGGGTTGTTGCCCTCCTACGGCCTCCTCCACGTCTCCTGATGTACTGGCTTGTCTCCTGGTAGTGCCTCCATGCTCTGGACACTACGCTGACAGACACAGCAAACCTTCTTGCCACAGCTCGCATTGATGTGCCATCCTGGATGAGCTGCACTACCTGAGCCACTTGTGTGGGTTGTATGCTACCACTAGAGTGAAAGCACCGCCAGCATTCAAAAGTGACCAAAACATCAGCCAGGAAGCATAGGAACTGAGAAGTGGTCTGTGGTCACCACCTGCAAAACCAGTCCTTTATTGGGGGTGTCTTACTAATTGCCTATATAATTCCACCTGTTGTCTATTCCATTTGCACAACAGCATGTGAAATTTATTGTCAATCAGTGTTGCTTCCTAGGTGGACAGTTTGATTTCACAGAAGTGTGATTGACTTGGAGTTACATTGTGTTGTTTAAGTGTTCCCTTTATTTTTTTGAGCAGTGTATATTTCCACATTATGAGGTTGGAATAATACTGTGAAATTGTGAAAGTGATGATAATGCCCTTTTAGTGTAAGAGCTGTTTGAAAAGACCACCTGAAATTTCAGACTGTTTTGGTGGGATGGAGTTTTGGCCTTCCATAGTGACATCACCATGTGGTAAATTAGTTAATAGACCAATAAGAAAGAGAGTTACAAGCCTCTCTGCCAATAACAGCTAGTTTTCAGTTCTCCCCTCCCCACTCCCAGACAGTCCTAGCTAAATTATTGCTTGAGAAATTGCTCTTTGCTAATAAGCTTCTTTTTTTTACAGTGAGTGTTTTCAATTAAAATGGTAAGGTACTTAATTGTGACCCAGAAATGATTTGATATTGAGATAAAAACGGCTGCGTTGTACTTTTATGTCACCCTATGTAAAAGATGTTAACGCGTGTTCACCAGCTCCCAAAGGCAAGCAGCTCTTCATCTCCACTACCTTATTTAATGTCACCCTACGTAAAAGATAACTACATTATTTAATGTCACCCTATGTAAAAGATAACTACATTATATAATGTCACCCTATGTAACATATATTGTTATTTAATATCACCTTACAGATGTAGGATCTTAATTTTATCACTCTTTTGTTGCTGAGAATTTTCAGGAAATGCAAACTTGTAAGGTATTCAAGGTTGAAAAAGGCTTCTAAAGTTTGTAATTTCCACATTAAAATGACAGACTTGATTTGCCCTAATGAAAAATGTATCAACCCCTACAAAAAATGTCCATGAATGATAATCCACATAATAATTCACATTTCCTGTTGCTGCAGGATTATTTTCCTGCTGTAGCAAACTGGCTCAAATTAAGATCCTACATCTGTATGTAAAAGATCTTCTTACTTAATGAGTGTTCACCAGCTCCCAAAGGCAAGCAGCACTTCTCCAGCGACTCGGAGGATGAGGACGACAACAGGAAGTTCAAGATCAAGATCAAGCCGTTGCCCTCCGACACTGCCAAGTGTGCAGTTCCCTCCATGGACGAACTGAAAGCTTCCGTAGGAGGTTTGGCTCTCTCTCCCTCTATGGTGAGCCCTTGATGTTCTAACTGGATGGAACTGGAGTATGGTGAAGTTGTCCCTAGATGCTGATTTTGGGTCAGTTTAGCATTTTTCCCGCTAATTGTTAAGTCTTGGATTAGGGGAGGGAAAGCTGACCCTAGAACTGTACCTAGTGAAGTAGGTTAAAGTGCAATGTCCCTGACCGGACTTGAACTTGGGTCATTATTACTAAGGGCCACGGCCTTAGCTGCTACTCCAAGAAAGCTAGCTCTCTCGGGTATATGAAGTATTAAATTAATCGGTTTGATGAAACTGAAGACGGCTACAGATAATTCTAGCCAGTGACATGATCTGGAATGTACTGAACATCTGAATATCTGTCCCTCCTCTCACTTCCTCCCCCTCTTTCCCTTACTCTCTCCATCTCCCTCTCTCTCCCTCTCCCCCTACTCTCTCCCTCTCCCTCTCTCTCCCTCTCCCCCTACTCTCTCCATCTCCCTCTCTCTCCATCTCCCTCTCTCTCCATCTCCCTCTCTCTCCATCTCCCTCTCTCTCCTACATCTGTTTCTCTTGTAGAGGAGAAGTCCGGTAAGTCAGTAAAAAAAATATTTAAAAAAAGTGTATCTGTTTCAGTATATAGAAAAGGCATGGCATGAATTCACTTGGCTGTGGATTATTTTCTCACTTGGATTATTTTTCCCATGCTGTAGCAAAAAAAAAAACAGCGGGCAAAATGTTACACTTTTTGTTGTTGTTGTTATAAACAGATTTTCTGTCATATCATCAGATTAGAACCAAACAATCATTGTTTTCACGACGACATCAAGAAAGACATCGTTTTGGTTGTTATCTGGTCAGGTATAGCCCAATTACAACCAGATGAAGATGTATTTTTCTGGTTGCTAAAAAGACGTTTACAAAACGTCCTTTTCACAACCATAATGATGTCAGTGATTGTCATTACAACCAGTTTTGCCCGCTGGGATAGGCTCTTCTATTTGAGTTGTTTAGCTATTCTAATTCCTCCCTCTGCATGTTATGTATGCTTTATGTTACTATGTTTTATGTTACTTTATGTTACATTTTCACTGCATGCCTTTAACACATTTTATTTTAGTTGATAACTTTACTTGAATCTCCCTTGACCAAAGCTAAAAAGAAAAACGAATGCGACAGCCAGACAGCCACTCAGAAAGTATAGACTACCGATAGCTGTCCATGGTGCTGAAATTGCGACACGTTTATGTGAATCGATTATAGGCTTTCTGTGGTACCAGGGCATGTAGCCTATAGCTTTGCTTTAGCTAATGGATAAATGTTTATTGGTAAGCTTATTTGATCGTAATTTTCTCATGTTAAGCCAAACATTTCACAAAGCTATACACGGTGTCACAAGGCTGCCATTTAGACAGGTGGCTCGCAGCAAAAATGTAATTACTTGATCAGTAATTAAAGTTGGAAATTCAAACATTGCAGATTTATAAAATTAATGTTCCATACAACAGCATACTAATCAGCAACCAATTGATTTTATAAAATTATACAACTGTCCTGTATAGCTTACCTTACTTAACCTGCATGACATAAGCCCTGCTCGCACTCTCTCCCAGCTTGGATAGAAATTTGCTGTGTGTAAAACCAAATAATACAGTCAGTTCACCCTCAAAACACTATCTTACTATGTTTCATTAAGCAGTGTAGCCTACTAGCTATAGCTATATACAGTATTTAACTGCTATTTATAAACTCTTTATAAAAATACACATCAAATAGCCTAAGAATTAAGGAAAAAAGCAGTCGGCTTGAGGATAAATTTCGCTACTATTGTTGAACTCAGCAGATTTTGTCTGGCTAACAGCCTACACAAATGGGCTGCAATCAAGTTAAATGAAATGAAATCCAATTTGAGAGACTTCTCTGGTCTTCTGAAGTCCTCCTGGCTGCTTCTCTCTCTCTCTGTGTCTCTTTTCCTCTTTCTTTCTCTTAGAAGAACGTATCTCTGTGTCTGTGCTTGTCTCTCTTTTTCTACGTAGAGGCCTACAGTAGCTACAGTATGCGACTGCGTCCCCTTCCATTTTTGTGTGCAAATTTTTTCACCACGGCCTGTAGGTCCAGGTTGCTGGCCCGACTGTTTTCTATACCGAGTATTGACAACCCAGACAGTCTTTTCTGAGACATTGTGCATGATATGTCCATTGCGCTGCACACAATTTAAACTAAGTCTTGAATGATGCATGCCAAGATATACCAGAGATAATGGACTGTTGATATTGCAAACACACAACTCAAACGCCGGTTCAACAGTATGAACAAAATCGCAAACCTCTTTTTTAGTTTGAGCCCCTAAAAACTGTGGTAAGTTAAAGATTATAATCTGTTTGCATCTGCCAATGTATTGGCTGTCCAGTATCCAGACGACCTGTCCCCAGAGCTTCTTATACAGTTCATCTCTTTCCGGCAATTAAGGAGAATGAGAGGTTCATGTAAAGGTGTTGCAGAACTGCTGTATTTGAATCACCACTCCCTTCTGTTTCCCTGCTGTTGCTATGGCAATCAAGCTGTTTTTAACCATTCCTTTAACTGTCGCTTCTGCGGAGAGATCGTTTTCTAAACTAAAACTCATAAAGAACTACCTAAGAAGCATTAGGCTCTCGGTCTGATATGCGCTTTTGAACACCTGAGTAAGCTCCCACTCATTGCACTGTCACCTTCATCGTCTTGACCACGGCATTTGTTCACCAATATCCCCTTACTTTCAATCAGTTCAATTCTTTCATTTTCAAGGCCTGAGGCACTTTGATCAGTCACATTGTTGAAGGACAAGAAACAAATACTTAGCTTCCTAGTACATATGGAAATGAAAAAGGTTGAGGTAATGTAACCTACTAGGTGCTATGTTGTATTGACAAGCTGAGGTAACGTAACCTACCACGTGCTATGTTGTATTGACAAGCTGAGGTAACGTAACCTACCACGTGCTATGTTGTATTGACAAGCTGAGGTAACGTAACCTACCACGTGCTATGTTGTATTGACAAGCTGAGGTAACGTAACCTACCACGTGCTATGTTGTATTGACAAGCTGAGGTAACGTAACCTACCACGTGCTATGTTGTATTGACAAGCTGAGGTAACGTAACCTACCACGTGCTATGTTGTATTGACAAGCTGAGGTAACGTAACCTACCACGTGCTATGTTGTATTGACAAGCTGAGGTAACGTAACCTACCACGTGCTATGTTGTATTGACAAGCTGAGGTAACGTAACCTACCACGTGCTATGTTGTATTGACAAGCTGAGGTAACGTAACCTACCACGTGCTATGTTGTATTGACAAGCTGAGGTAACGTAACCTACCACGTGCTATGTTGTATTGACAAGCTGAGGTAACGTAACCTACCACGTGCTATGTTGTATTGACAAGCTGAGGTAACGTAACCTACCACGTGCTATGTTGTATTGACAAGCTGAGGTAACGTAACCTACCACGTGCTATGTTGTATTGACAAGCTGAGGTAACGTAACCTACCACGTGCTATGTTGTATTGCTGCGTTACTATATGTAGGCTTTATTACACAGTGTTGAAGTAAAGGGGTGTTACATTCTTTTCAGTTCTATTTGACTGATTTGTCACTCACTCTCTGACCAGGTCTCTTCTCTCTTCCTTTTTGCTGGTCTCAGAGACGCAGCCCGGTAAGTCGCCACCTGGTGGTTCATTTTAAAAGTGTCTGCATCCAAATCACTTGCAGGGAAATAAATTAATTATGAAGATTGTCTTTTGGAGTGCTGTCAATTTAATTCTTTATACACCCAAACACTGCCTTTTCATTTCAATGCCTATGACATTTACCGATGACCTCACAAAATATTGTATTTGTTTCAGTTTTCATATATACTTACAGTTAGTTTTTCACTCTATTCTTTCACATTAGCAATTGTACAGGGAGACTAATCCAGGACCTATACTGTAATTACTGGTTGAACTGTTTACATTCATGTTTTGTATGTTAGGTTACGATTCCTTTTTACTGGTATACTGAAAAGTACTTTGTTTTCGTTGCAGGGCTCGATAAAGAGACACCTGTCTTGTAAGTACATTGTTTGTGGAAGTAGTGTAATGCTATCTGTAATTTGTTTTACAGTCTGTCAATGTCAACTGAATACACATACAGTACAGTATCTTGTCATAGTTCTACACCATCAGTTACACTAGTTGTTTAAGGTTGGGATGCATACTGTAGTTTCAATAGTTTGAGTTAAGATGCACATTCAGTGGCTGTCAGTATAAATAATATATTATATTACATTATGATATATAATCTAATATCACTGGTATCGGTTGTTATTTCCAGGTGAGGAGATCGCCAGACCCAGACGCTCCACCCCTACGCCAAGCCCCGCCCCCGAGACACAAAGGTCAAAACTGTGCTAATGCTAAATGTTCTGTTTGGGAAAACAATTAAGCTGTTAAATTCAATTAAATAACAAAGTACAAGTACATCGCTGAAATCTTGATTATCAGAGTTGTAAAATTGTATTTACATATCTTTGATTTTACCATCTCTTGCAGTGAGAGAGTATCCCAAAATCGCAGAGCATCCCCAGCTTTCTTCAGGCCTCCTCCAGAGATGACCTATGACTATGAGACACACAGATATGATAGTAACAGAAATGATGGTAACTCTCACAAGAATAGTCTTCCTGACTGCATGTGTGTGTTTGTGTTGCATGGGTTTTAGCTATGTGTTAGTACAGACAGTGGTATCTTGGTTGATTGCTCCTAATCACAATAATACTTTCTGTAGCTGTATTATCACCAGTGCTTGACTTGGACTGAAATAGGTGCCAGTGCTCATTTTGAGTGCCGGTAGTGCTTATACAGTGCCCTCAGAAAGTATTCATACCCCTTGACTTATTCCACATTTCGTTGTGTTAAAGCCTGAATTAAAAATGGATTAAATAGATTTTTTCTCTCTCACCCATCTACACACAATACCCCATAATGACAAAGTGAAAACATGTTTTTAAATTTATTGAAAAGGAAATACAGAAATATCTAATTTACATAAGTATTCACACTCCTGAGTCAATACATGTTAGAATCACCTTTGGCAGCGATTACAGCTGAGTCTTTCTTGGTAAGTCTCTAAGAGCTTTGCACACCTGGATTGTACAATATTTGCCCATTATTCTTTTCAAAATTCTTCAAGCTCTGTCAAAGTGGTTGTTGATCATTGCTAGACAACCATTTTCATGTCTTGCCATAGATTTTCAAGCAGATTTAAGTCAAAACTGTAACTCGGCCACTCAGGAACTTTGTGACGATTCTGTGCAACTTCCGGTGTGTGTTTACTGTGAACACTGAGGCTGTTTACTGTGAACACTGAGGCTGTTTACTGTGAACACTGAGGCTGTACCCACTTTAAGTTAGTTTTAACAGTGGTCAAGTAGGCTACTGTGGCTATTTGATCATAATGTATGCCTACCAGAGTGGCCTACCATCAAAAACAATGGAGAAAATGTATCCCATAACATTTTAACATGGAAATAGCTGTTCTATCATTCAGCCTACAGTAGCAGCCAATGTGTGGTGTTCAATGTAGCCTACATTCCATGAGACTTTGGGGGGAAAAAACATGCAGGGCTTGACATTAACAGGGCTTGACATCTTTCAGACAAGGAGGTGACTGAAAATGTTGTTGTGTTGTTTGATGCAAGAAACTACTTTACAAAATAAAATGCATTATTATTCCCATACCATTATTACAGAGAATCAGACAAATTATGCTACCCTCTGCCTATTGGCTACTTAGCTTATTCAAGCCTGTCTCAAAATACAACACTGCCCCTTTAAGACCCCCAAAAAAGCTCCTTACCTGACTCGCTTTTCAAAGATGTCTAGAAATGTACACGTTTTGTGCTCTTGTAGGTAGCAATCACTCCCCTATTGCTGACTACAAATGATCTATAACTGGGCTAATAACTCACTAACTAGAAAAGGATATGAACAAAATGTGCACAGGTGGCTACATGCAGCTCTCGCTTTGATCTCAAAACAAGCGCATCTACTCACGACCGCTCATGCTGTAAACACAGTCCAGTTCAAAGTAAATGGCACAGATCCATATATGGCAGTGGTCTATTTGCAAATAGGCCTACTGCAGCTCTGATTGTTTGTGCCACACCGGTCTGTGCGGAGTACGGGCTGAGTCGTGCATGTCAAGGCAATAGAATCCTACTCCGATGTGTTCTGCCTACAACAAAATCTCTTGCATAGTTCGTTTTGTTTCAGTATGTTGCATTGAAAGTGGCTAATATTGCGTTGATTAGATCACAATTGCCACAGTAAAGGGAAACGTTGATAGTGTTAACAGGGAAAACTCTAGAACAGTGGTCACCAACCTTTTCTGAGTTAAGATCACTTTGAGTCAAAATGCAAGCCGAGATCTACCGCTCAGATTTTTTTAAAACATTGCTTTCAAAAATGTAACCTATGCAACATTAACCAATTAAAAACAGTACTGTAGCAATGAGGTTTGTGCAGTAAGCTATAGGCCTAATGAATTATCACCGCATATTGGCTTTGCTTCAATTGCCCTGCCAATGCATTGTTGTTCGGGCTATTTACATTTTTTTGAGGTAGGCTATATAATCCCACCGGTAATAGATCTGTTTTTGTATTACTTGTGAAGCACAGCTGAGTGAGCATACATTTAAATAATTAGCTTATTTATTTCTATTTTACTGGGCTGATGGTGCCTGTATCTGATGGTCAGTCTATTTTACTGGGCTGATGGTGCCTGCATCTGATGGTCAGTCTATTTTACTGGGCTGATGGTGCCTGTATCTGATGGTCAGTCTATTTTACTGGGCTGATGGTGCCTGTATCTGATGGTCAGTCTATTTTACTGGGCTGATGGTGTCTGCATCTGATGGTCAGTCTATTTTACTGGGCTGATGGTGCCTGTATCTGATGGTCAGTCTCAGCGGAGGGAGAGAGCAGCAGACTGAGGGTCCGCCTCTCAACATCCCTCCACTCTCCCTTTCCTCCACTGACACGGACCAAAAAGGGACACCGTCTTCCAGCTGATGGCGAAACTCGAGTCGCACCGCATTATTTCTGCCTCGTGCACAAATTCATGTTGTTACTCCTATGAACAGAGAAAGTGATCAATATTCCTTGATATTACAAAAGACCCAAGCTGCTAATAACAACAACAACAACGCAAGCCTATAGATACACTTTCCTACTCATTCATTACTGCTGCAGTGCTTGTTGTAGCGCTGAGTGGCAATAGGAAGAACGTGCATTTTATGGCTTATAAAAGTGTTGAATACAAAGTGTTGACAGTGCTGAGTAAGAACTTAAACATGAACTCACTCAAAAAAACAGCAGCTCTTTGCTGTATTTGTTGACAGTCTCTCTAGTCATGGTTTTAAACGTTTTGAAATCTCACAGTATCAACTTTGCTGTAGCTTTATTTTATGCCGGCTACTTTACTGCAGACACGGTAATCTGAGCCATCCGATTGGCCAGCGGTAGGCCTATAGTGTGCTTGATTTGCTCTCTGGGCCCGCCGGGAAGGCAGAGTTTGTACCTTCAGACACATGAAATGGTTCAAAATGGAAACAGTTTGCCTACCCGGCACGCAGGGCAGCTGAATCTGGTGTTTTTTATTGTTTCTTTTTACATAAATGTTTGGCGATCGACTAGGAATGTCTTGGAGATCGACCAGTTCATCGTGATCGACCAGTTGGTGACCACTGCTCTAGAAAGTTGAGTGACGTTCAATCTCATGCTTCTCTCTGTGGGCTGATATTTCTGCGAGGCAGTCCTGGGGAGCTTTCTGCGAGGCAGTCCTGGGGAGCTTTCTGCGAGGCAGTCCTGGGGAGCTGCACAGCAATCTTGGGGCTACTGCGCACGCACATCTTAGAGGGAACATTGGTACTCAGTAATGTGTTGTATTGGATTAACCCCAAACATAACATTTTGTATTCAGGACAAAAAGTGAATTGCTTTGCCACATTTTTTTGCAGTATTTCTTTAGTGCCTTATTGCAAATAGGATGCATGTCTTGGAATATTTGTATTCTGTACAGGCTTCCTTCTTTTCACTCTGTCAATTAGGTTAGTATTGTGGAGTAACTACAATGTTGTTGATCATTATCAGTTTTCTCCTATCACAGCAATGTAACTGTTTTAAAGTGACCATTGGCCTCATGGTGAAATCCCTGAGCGGTTTCCTTCCTCTCCGGCAACTGAGTTAGGAAGGAAGCCTATATCTTTGTAGTGACTGGGTGTATTGATACACCATCCATGCTCAAAGGGATATTCAATGTCTGCTTTTTTGAACCAATAGGTGCCCTTCTTTGCATGGCAATGGAAAACTTCCCTGGTCTTTGTGGTTTAATCTGTGTTTGAAATTCATAAAAAAATCATGTTAAACACTATTATTGCACATCGAGGGAATCCATGCAACTTATTGTGACTTGTTAAGTACATTTTTACTCCTGAACATGCCATAACAAAGGGGTTGAATACTTATTGACTCAAGACATTTCAGATTTTCATTTTTTTATTAATTTGTAAAAAAAAAAATGAAAAACATAATTCCACTTTGACATCATGTTGTATTGTGTGTAGTAGGCCAGTGGCAAAAAATAAATCACAATTTAATACATTTCAATTTCAGGCTGTAACACAACAAAATGTGGAAAAAGCCAATGGATGTGATTACTTTCTGAAGGCACTGTACTTAGGTTCAGGAACTCCACAATACTTTTGAGCTACTCTATAAGAGGTGCAAGAACTCAAGCAGTGAAGACCTCAGTATACAGATATGAATATATGATACAGTATATTATGATGATATACTGTATATAATCTAATATCACTGGTATCGGGTTGTTCTTCCAGGTGAGGAGATCGCCAGACCCAGACGCTCCACCCCTACACCAAGACCCGCCCCCGAGACACAAAGGTCAGAGTTCAAAACTGTGCTAATGCTGACACAGCAAACATGCTACCATATTTGCTATGTACTGTGTTGATAGAATTTGTGTTGGGTCTGCTAAATGTTCTGTTTGGGAAAACAATTAAGCTGTTAAATTCAATTAAATAACAAAGTACAAGTACATCGCTGAGATCTTGATTATCAGAGTTGTAAAATCGCATTTACATATCTTGAATTTACCATCTCTTGCAGTGAGAGAGTATCCCAGAATCGCAGAGCATCCCCAGCTTTCTTCGGGCCTCCTCCAGAGACGACCTATGAGACACACAGATATGATAGTAACAGAAATGATGGTAACTCTCACAAGAATAGTCTTTCTGACTGAATGTATATTTGTGTGTCTTTGTGTTTTTACATAATGGGATCTAAATGTGTGTCAATTGTTTGTTAGGTTTGTGCATCATATCCCACTGAGGTGTGATAAGCCATTTTTATATCCTGTCTTTGTCTATCATAGTAGTCTGTATAGAGGCTGATGCATGGAGTGACTCCAGACCATACTCTGTATCCCCTTTGACCAGACACTTTCCCACAGGAGGTAAGCCCCCACTATATCATTTATATCAGTCATGATTGTGCTATTATATTATTATAATAGAACAAGCATGGCATTTGCTAACACAGCCGCGGGCCACATTGAAATCAGCTTGTTGTCCGCATATGGCTTGCAGGCCGCCAGTTTGAGACCAATGTTGTAGCCATTGATTCTTGAAGAATATAACTTATAAATGCCTCATGAGCTTTAGTTCAACTGTCGTACCACATCAGAACCCAAAATATAAGCTTGTTTTACTCCAGTGTTTATAAAACAAAGTAAATGTAAACAAACAATGTAAAGCCTCAAAACATGGTTAGAACTATAATGTTGATATCATGGATGGTCAGTCCTTACATCCATAACTCTGTCTATGAATTTGAGAGTGGTTACATTTCTCCAGCCCCATCCTCCCGCTTTTTACCAAAACAGTGGAGTGGAGGAACACTTTGTTATTGTTTCAACAGCTGATTGCCGCTTTAAGTAAGTCTACAGACTGACCTAGTGTCACACCCTTTAGTGCCTTAGTACCGTAGACTAACTGGTGTACAAAATGCAAGTCGTTTGACCAAGTGTCACTCTCTTTGTAGCTCCTCCTCCACTTCCTCCCAAGAACATCCCAGCAGCTAGTCAAGGCTATTCTTCGTCTGATTCTTCCGGTAATATTATTTTGCTAGTGACCATAATTCCCATATGGAAGCAGATTCATGCCAAAACTTCAATGGTTTTATTTGTTTTCGTTTTGGCATGAATCAGCGTCCATATTCCCATGCCTCGTGCACACTTGTCATTGTTCTTTGGACAGCATTGATAGAAGTGAACTCAGGAAGATCTCTGAAGTTTTTTTTCCCCCACAGCTGATTTACCCAATGGGAGAATAGTCTCAAGCCCCGCCCCCATCTACCTGAATGTCCAATCCCCAGCCTCATACAGAGGTTCCCCGGTGCCTGACCTGGACGATGTGTTTGGCCCCATGGAATCCTCCCGGACCAATGAGGGCAGGGCCTCGCCCCGATGGGTCAGCTTCAACAGTGAGAGACCGCCCCCACCGGACGAACCGGCCCCGCCTCCACCCCCTGCCTATCCTCCTCCTGACTCGCCCAACTCCCTCTCCTCTGCCCTAGACTCCCCCTGCCTCTCGCCGGGCCCCCCTCCGGATGAGCCTCCCCCCTCCCCACCGCCCTTCTCCTCTCCACCCGACTCGCCCATCTCCATCATCTCCATTCCCCCTCCAGACGAACCCGTTCCCCCCCTGCCTCCCGACTTCTCGCCCCCGGACTCCCCGCCATGCATCGCCATCAATCCTAGTCTGTTTTTGGATGATGATGAGATACTGGAGTACTCCGCAGCTCCCTCTGCCCCTGCTGCCCCACTGGAGTACTCCCCTGCCCCTACCAGTCCCATCCCTCCCCCCCTGCCTGCGGAGCGCTCCCCTCGGGCAGGCGTCCCTTCCCCTCTGGTGTTCCTCAGGGAGGAGCAGCCTGACTTTATGGCCTGGCCCCTGGGACTGACCCCGGGCTTCAGGGGCACGCTGTCCCCACCCCTCCCCCCGCACACCTACAGGCCCATGGTGTCCTCCCCCGGACCCTTCCCAGGCAGTGGTGAGTACCACTGTAGGAAAACATAGAAATACAATGGGTAGATTACCAGTCTTGGAAAACATAGAAATATAATGGGTAGATTACCACTCTTGGAAAACATAGAAATACAATGGGTAGATTACCACTCTTGGAAAACATAGAAATATAATGGGTAGATTACCACGCTAGGAAAACATAGAAATATAATGGGTAGATTACCACGCTAGGAAAACATAGAAATACCGGGGCGGCAGGTAGCTTAGTGGGTAAGAGCGTTGTGCCAGTAACCGAAAGGTCGCTGGTTCTAATCCCCGAGCCGACTAGGTGAAAAATCTGTCGATGTGCCCTTGAGCAAGGCATTTAACCCTAATTGCTTCTGTAAGTCGCTCTGGATAAGAGCGTCTGCTAAATGACTAAAATGTAAATGTAAATAATGGGTAGATTACCACGCTAGGAAAACATAGAAATATAATGGGTAGATTACCACGCTAGGAAAACATAGAAATATAATGGGTAGATTACCACGCTAGGAAAACATAGAAATATAATGGGTAGATTACCACTCTAGGAAAACATAGAAATACAATACAAGTAGAATGGGTAACCCGATCATCGTGAAAATGTAATTAGTTGACATCACTCTATTACTACAATTGCTATGGGATCTAGATAGTGCTGGTCATAAGCTTAGTATGTCCTCATGTCACATGCCTCCCTTTTCCCTTTACAGGCCCCTCCTCTCCACCTCGTCCTGCCACGCCCCTGTCAGGAGGTAGTCCAATCCCTCCCCCTCTTCCTACAAGGCCCTCCTCTCGACCCAAACTGCCCCCTGGGAAACCAATAGGAGACCTGGTATGGCACACTTAGACTTGTAATAGATACTATTAGAATGTTAGACTTGTGATAGATACTATTAGAATGTGTTAGACTTGTAATATACTATTAGAATGGTTAGACTTGTGATAGATACTATTAGAAGTGTTAGACTTGTGATAGATACTATTAGAATGTTAGACTTGTGATAGATACTATTAGAATGTTAGACTTGTAATAGATACTATTAGAATGTGTTAGACTTGTAATAGATAATATTAGAATGTGTTAGACTTGTGATAGATACTATTAGAATGTGTTAGACTTGTAATAGATACTATTAGAATGTTAGACTTGTGATATATACTATTAGAATGTGTTAGACTTGTGATAGATACTATTAGAATGTTAGACTTGTGATAGATACTATTAGAATGTGTTAGACTTGTGATAGATACTATTAGAATGTTAGACTTGTAATAGATACTATTAGAATGTTAGACTTGTAATAGATACTATTAGAATGTGTTAGACTTGTGATAGATACTATTAGAATGTGTTAGACTTGTAATAGATACTATTAGAATGTTAGACTTGTAATAGATACTATTAGAATGCTAGACTTGTAATAGATACTATTAGAATGTTAGACTTGTAATAGATACTATTAGAATGTGTTAGACTTGTGATAGATACTATTAGAATGTTAGACTTGTAATAGATACTATTAGAATGTTAGACTTGTGATAGATACTATTAGAATGTGTTAGACTTGTGATATACTATTAGAATGGTTAGACTTGTGATAGTACTATTAGAAGTGTTAGATTGTTAGAGACTATTGAATGTGACTTGTATGATACTATTAGAATTTATAGACTTGTAATAGATACTATTAGAATGTGTTAGACTGTGATAGATACTGGATAGAATGGTTAGACTTGTAATAGATACTATTAGAATTAGATTGTGATAGATACTATTAGAATGCTAGACTTGTGATAGATACTATTAGAATGTTAGACTTGTGATAGATACTATTAGAATGTGTTAGACTTGTAATATATACTATTAGAATGCTAGACTTGTGATAGATACTATTAGAATGTTAGACTTGTGATAGATACTATTAGAATGTGTTAGACTTGTGATAGATACTATTAGAATGTTAGACTTGTAATAGATACTATTACAATGTGTTAGACTTGTAATAGATACTATTAGAATGTTAGACTTGTGATAGATACTATTAGAATGTGTTAGACTTGTGATAGATACTATTAGAATGTTAGACTTGTGATATATTACTATTAGAATGCTTAGACTTGTGATAGATACTATTAGAATGTTAGACTTGTGATAGATACTATTAGAATGTTTAGACTTGTGATAGATACTATTAGAATGTGTAGACTTGTAATGATAATGATACTAAATTAGAATGTTAGACTTGTGATAGATACTATAGAATGTGTTAGACTTGTAATAGATACTATTAGAATGTTAGACTTGTAATAGATACTATTAGAATGTTAGACTTGTGATAGATACTATTAGAAGTGTTAGACTTGTATAGATACTATTAGAATGTTAGACTTGTGATAGATACTATTAGAATGTTAGACTTGTGATAGATACTATTAGAATGTTAGACTTGTGATAGATACTATTACAATGTGTTAGACTTGTGATAGATACTATTAGAATTGTTAGACTTGTATAGATACTATTAGAATGTGTTAGACTTGTGATAGATACTATTAGAATGTGTTAGACTTGTATAGATACTATTAGAATGTTAGACTTGTGATAGATACTATTAGAATGTGTTAGACTTTATAGATACTATTAGAAGTTTAGATTGATAGATACTATACAATGGTTAGACTTGTGATAGATATATTGAATGTTAGACTGTAATAGATACTATAGAATGTTTAGACTTGTGATAGATACTATTAGAATGTGTTAGACTTGTGAAAAGATACTATTAGAATGTTAGACTTGTGATAGACTTGAATTAGTTTTTAATGATACTATTAGAATCTAATAATGTTAGACTTGTGATAGATACTATTAGAATGTGTTAGACTTGTGATAGATACTATTAGAATGTGTTAGACTTGTGATAGATACTATTAGAATGTGTTAGACTTGTAATAGATACTATTAGAATGTTAGACTGTATAGATACTATTAGAATGGTTAGACTTGTAATAGATACTATTAGAATGTGTTAGACTTGTAAATAGATACTATTAGAATGTGTTAGACTTGTGATAGATACTATTAGAATGTTAGACTTGTAATGAGATACTATTAGAATGCTTAGACTTGTATAGATACTATTAGAATGTGTTAGACTTGTAAGATATATTAGAATGTGTTAGCTGTGATAGATACTATTAGAATGTTAGACTTGTAATAGATACTATTAGAATGTTAGACTTGTGATAGATACTATTAGAATGTGTTAGACTTGTAATATATACTATTAGAATGCTAGACTTGTGATAGATACTATTAGAATGTTAGACTTGTGATAGATACTATTAGAATGTGTTAGACTTGTAATAGATACTATTAGAATGCTAGACTTGTGATAGATACTATTAGAATGTTAGACTTGTATAGATACTATTAGAATGTGTTAGACTTGTGATAGATACTATTAGAATGTTTAGACTTGTAATAGATACTATTAGAATGTGTTAGACTTGTGATAGATACTATTAGAATTGTTAGACTTGTGATAGATACTATTAGAATGTGTTAGACTTGTGATAGATACTATTAGAATGTTAGACTTGTGATATATACTATTAGAATGTGTTAGACTTGTGATAGATACTATTAGAATGTGTTAGACTTGTAATAGAGACTATTAGAATGTTAGACTTGTGATAGATACTATTAGAATGTGTTAGACTTGTGATAGATACTATTAGAATGTTAGACTTGTGATAGATACTATTAGAATGTGTTAGACTTGTAATAGATACTATTAGAATGTTAGACTTGTGATATATATTAGAATGTGTTAGACTTGTGATAGATACGATTAGAATGGGTTTAGACTGGTATAGATACTATTAGAATGGTTAGACTTTGTGTATATACTATTAGGAATGTGTTAGGACTTGTGATTAGATACTATTAGAAGGTTAGACTTGTGATAGATACCTATTGACAATGTGTTAGAACTTGTGATTAGATACTATTAGAATGTTAGACTTGTAGTAGATTACTGTTAGAATGGGTTGTTAGACTGTAAGTAATACGATTGAGAATGTGTTAGACTTGTGGATAGATACTATTAGATGTGTTTAGACTTGTAATAGATACTATTAGAATGTTAGACTTGTAATAGATACTATTAGGATGCTAGACGTGTAATAGATTACTATTAGAATGTAGGTTGTAATAGATACTATTAGGAAATGTGTTAGACTTGTGATAGATACTATTAGAAGGTTAGACTTGTAATAGATACTATCAGAATGTTAGACTTGTGATAGAGACTACGATTAGAAGGTGTTAGACTTGTATCATATACTATTAGAATGCTAGACTTGTGATAGATACTATTAGAATGTTAGACTTGTGATAGATACTATTAGAATGTGTTAGACTTGTGATAGATACTATTAGAATGTTAGACTTGTAATAGATACTATTACAATGTGTTAGACTTGTAATAGATACTACTAGAATGTTAGACTTTTGATAGATACTATTAGAATGTGTTAGACTTGTGATAGATACTATTAGAATGTTAGACTTGTGATATATACTATTAGAATGTGTTAGACTTGTGATAGATACTATTAGAATGTGTTAGACTTGTGATAGATACTAGTAGAATGTGTTAGACTTGTAATAGATACTATTAGAATGTTAGACTTGTGATAGATACTATTAGAATGTGTTAGACTTGTGATAGATACTATTAGAATGTGTTAGACTTGTGATAGATACTATTAGAATGTGTTAGACTTGTAATATATACTATTAGAATGCTAGACTTGTGATAGATACTATTAGAATGTTAGACTTGTGATAGATACTATTACAATGTGTTAGACTTGTGATAGATAATATAGATAATATGTGATAGATAATAATGTAATGTAATGTAATGTAATATTAGAATGTTAGACTTGTAATAGATACTATTAGAATATTAGACTTTCGATAGATACTATTAGAATGTTAGACTTGTTATAGATACTATTAGAATGTTAGACTTGTGATAGATACTATTAGAATGTGTTAGACTTGTGATAGATACTATTAGAATGTGTTAGACTTGTGATAGATACTATTAGAATGTGTTAGACTTGTGATAGATACTATTAGAATGTGTTAGACTTGTGATAGATACTATTAGAATGTTAGACTTGTGATAGATACTATTAGAATGTTAGACTTGTGATAGATACTATTAGAATGTGTTAGACTTGTGATAGATACTATTAGAATGTTAGACTTGTGATAGATACTATTACAATGTGTTAGACTTGTGATAGATACTATTAGAATGTTAGACTTGTAATAGATACTATTAGAATGTGTTAAACTTGTGATAGATACTATTAGAATGTGTTAGACTTGTAAAATATACTATTAGAATGTTAGACTTGTGATAGACTTGCGACTTATTTGTTTTTCTTCAACTGATTTCCACTAAGTTTGAGATACTGCTAACCTAACTGCGGTTGCTCTGCTAATATTACATTAGAATGTGTTAGACTTGTGATAGATACTATTAGAATGTGTTAGACTTGTGATAGATACTATTAGAATGTGTTAGACTTGTAATAGATACTATTAGAATGTTAGACTTGTGATAGATACTATTAGAATGTGTTAGACTTGTAATAGATACTATTAGAATGTTAGACTTGTGATAGATACTATTAGAATGTGTTAGACTTGTGATAGATACTATTAGAATGTTAGACTTGTGATAGATACTATTAGAATGTGTTAGACTTGTGATAGATACTATTAGAATGTGTTAGACTTGTGATAGATACTATTAGAATGTGTTAGACTTGTGATAGATACTATTAGAATGTGTTAGACTTGTGATAGATACTATTAGAATGTTAGACTTGTGATAGATACTATTAGAATGTGTTAGACTTGTGATAGATACTATTAGAATGTGTTAGACTTGTGATAGACTTGCGACTTATTTGTTTTTCTTCAACTGATTTCCACTAAGTTTGAGATACTGCTAACCTAACTGCGGTTGCTCTGCTAACATTACATTGTGTTGTAAAAATGTTTGGTACAGCAACATGCTACTGATATTCTCCCACCCCACCTCCCCCAGGCTCGGCCTTTCAGCCCCCCAGTCTCCGGCAGCCCCCCTCCCTTTGCCCCCCTGGCCCGAGCCGAGAGTTCCTCCTCCATCTCCTCCATCACCTTGCTGAGCGCAGCCTCCACCCCCACCATGGGGAGAGAGCTCAACATATCCACCACAGGTACTACCATCCTCCATAACACCTCATTCACCACTGTATGCCTCTGGTGTTAACACATTCGGTGTTCATCATAATGAACTGTTCATTATTTTGTCATTTTGAAAGTGGAGGTATGCTCACATTTGAAGCATAAAATATGACTTTTGTGAAACCATAATGGGACAAACTGGTGAAATACTGTTGATAGAGTGATGAATACCTTCCTCGTCATCTTCACTCTCCTAAACACACAATGATCTACACCTCCCATGCTCCAATCAGACTCCACCAGACAGCACACTTTCTTTCTATCCATCCATCATGCTCCATCTGTCTTGTGATGGGGGTTACACCTCCAGGAAGTCATCCACCTCTCCTCTCCTCTTCTCTTCCTCTGCTCCTGCCTGCCTCTCATCCCCCTCTCCCTCCCTCCATGTCCTCTACCCCACCCACATGAACAGAGGAAAAACAGCCAACCATGGTATGGTTTGACCATGGCCGCTTTTATTTGTCTTTTGGAGGTGAGTCGTACCGGGGTCATATTCATTAGGTCACACTGCGGAAATAAACGTTCTGCAGCGGAAAAGGAAAACTAGCATTTCTTATTGGATAAGTTCAGGTAGTCCTTTTCAGTCCGTTTGGCGCCTAATGAATATGACTCCGTACCAGTGCATGGAGGCTACCGTACTGTACTGCACTACCCTGGCTGTCCATGTTTCTCTGGTCTCGTCAAGCGTTATTTTATCGCTTTCTATGATCTGTCCAATCTTCTATCTTGCTATTTCTACGCTCTTCCCCTCTCTCTCCCTTACGCATGTCTGCTCATTTGACCACATGTCTGTAGGCCGTTACACACACAGGAAGTGATATAGCTACTGAGATTAGTGCCTTTCTGTGGTGATCAACTGTGTGTGTTGTGTGTGTGTTGTGTGTGTGTGTCGTGTGTCGTGTGTGTCGTGTGTGTGTGTGTGTGTGAGTCGTGTGTGTATGCGTGTGTGTGTCAGGATGCTCCAGAGGACCCAGCCCACTGACCATGGGAGGCCAGGACACTCTGCCTGTGGCGGCTGCCTTCACCGAGACCATCAACGCCTACTTCAAAGGAGCCGACCCCAGCAAGTAAGGCTAGCATTCCTATCAATGCTAGGCTATTCCTCTCAATGCTAGGCTAATGCTAACACAAGTAGCAATATTGATACTGATATGAATAACAACATTGATGTCGAATTTATATCAAAGTTAATACTGATGTGAATGCAAATTCATGACAACGTGATGTTTCAGCCGGCAAAGCGACCCTCATCAGAGTATATGCAACAAGTAAGATGGCTATGATATTGTTGATATATATATATCATATTGCAACTACTGTATGACTATTTCATTTCAATTTCAAACTGTAATGTCTCCTTTTGTTGTCCCCATAGGGAAATGCATTGTGCCTAGGCTATATATTGTTCTGAAAACTGAGAATGTGGCTATTTCTGTGTGAAATGTAGTTTGTTTGTGGCACCCCTATGGATTCTGGGTACTGTAGTTTCCTCTTTTTGACTGACCCATTTTTGAGCACTGAGCTGGCTCTGTTCTCCATGATCTAGGTGTGTGGTGAAAATCACTGGGGAGATGGTGCTGTCTTTCCCAGCAGGCATCACCAGGCACTTTGCCAGCCACCCGTCTGCCCCCGTACTCACCTTCAGCATCAGCAACTACTGCCAGCTAGAGCAGGTCCTCCCCAACCCACATCTACTGTGCTGGTAAGGCTTATTATACAGTACACTGACTCAATATTGTGTTTTGGGGCAAGGAATTCATATTTTTTTATTTTGGGGGAATGTTCCAAACGATGGGCTCTTGGTGGATGCCCCTAATCGTAGTAGACAGTCACAGGACCAATAGTAACATGTTTTTTAATCCTTATATTTGAACAATAAGGCAGAAGAGCCTGTGCTTTATCATGAATGTAGTCACAGGAAAATGGTGTTGTTCAGCCTGACACACTGGCTCAGATTGGTTATAGAGAGACACCCCTGTGATTGGTTAGGGAGAGACACATTTACATTTTACATTTTAGTCATTTAGCAGACGCTCTTATCCAGAGCGACTTACAGTTAGTGAGTGCATACATTATTTATTTTTTATACTGGAATCGAACCCACAACCCTGGCATTGCAAATGCCATGCTCTACCAACTGAGCTACATCCCTGCCGGCCATTCCCTCCCCTACCCTGGACGACGCTGGGCCAATTGTGCGCCGCCCCATGGGTCTCCCGGTCGCGGCCGGCTACGACAGACACCCCTGTGATTGGTTAGGGAGAGACATCCCTGTGATTTGAAACCTGGTTAAACCACTTACCATGATCACCAAACAATTTATTGGAAAACATGCAAGATAATATCATAATATACAGTACTTGAATCAGATACAGTCATTGTACTATTGTACCATCAGCAAACCAAAAATGCCCATTTTTAGTGACACCACCATGTCCAATGTGGACACCAAGGAATTCTGGGTAAATATGCCAAACCTGATGAGCCACCTGAGGAGAGTGGCTGACCAGAAGCCTCAAGCAACCTACTACAATGTGGACATGATCAAATATCAGGTGAGACCATCTGGATAGTACATATTATTACAGGGTATACTGTATAGTCACAATGACATGTAATTGTTAAACAAATGCATTGAAGTTACTCTACTCTTACATAGCTCAGCACATATTGTTGTCAGCGCAGAGTTAAATCCAAATACTGTTGTGTGTGTGTGTGTGCGCGCACATGCACATGACTGTGTTTTTGCATGCATGCATGTGTGTGTGTGTCTCAGGTGGCAGCTGAGGGGATCCAGTCTACTCCTCTGAACCTGGCGGTGAGTTGGCGTGGCGACACCACCAGCACGGACCTCAGAATAGACTACAAATACAACATGGAGGCCATGGCCGCCGCCCCCTCCCCCCTCCACAACATCCACTTCCTGGTCCCTGTGGACGGGGGCGTGGCCAAACTCCAAGCCATGATCCCCACTGCCACCTGGTGAGGATGCTGCATTGCTGACTGAGATTTTTAAAAACATATTTGTATGTATTTATCCAGGTTAGTGTCATTGAAATAATAAAGGCAACTATAACTTTATTTTGTTTTGTCTCTAAGGAACCCAGAGCAGCAGAACATTCTATGGAAGATACCAAGCCTTTCCCAAAGGTCTGAAAATGGAGGTAGGTGATCTTCCTCTTTCACTTTTCCTGTGTCTTCTTCCTCCTCTTCCTCCTCTTCTGTCTTCCTCCTCTTCCCCCTCTTCCTCCTCTTCCTCCTCTTCCTCCTCTTCTGTCTTCCTCCTCTTCCCCCTCTTCCTCCTCTTCCTCCTCTTCTGTCTTCCTCCTCATCGTCTTTGTTATCATCTGCCTCAACTTTGTCGTCATAATCGTAATTATACTCTTCGTCATCACATCACCATCACCACCACATAATCATCACCATCTTCACCACCACCATCACATAATCATCACCATCTTCACTACCATCATCATCACCAACACTATCATCTCACCATCATCATCATCATCATCATCACCATCATCACCATCATCATCATCATTATTCTCTTTCCTATAGGAGTGGGGGCTCTACTGGGCAGGTTCCAGTTGACAGACGGTCCCAGTAAGCCGTCTCAGTTAGCGGTGCAGTTTACCAGTGAAGGCAGCACTCTGTCCGGCTGTGACATCCAGCTGGTGGGGGCCGGCTACAGGCTCTCGCTGGTCAAAAAGAGATTTGCAGCAGGTCAGTGTCTGTGTGTGAGGGAAGCATTAAAATACTAGCCTGGTCCCAGATCGGTTTGTGCTGTCTTGCCTACTTCCATGGTCATTGTCACACGTTCTGGGATCACGGGCCCCATTTGAAACTGAACTGAAATTGTATTGATTCTAACCCTGAATATGACATTGTTGCCTGACCATGCAGACAGGGCAAGACAACAACGCTTTGGCCATAGCAAACAGTTGGAATTCCCCTGACTGAATACTCTGCTTGTGTTTCCTTTACAGGGAAATATCTGGCAGACAACTAGTCACCACTGTTGTAAAATGGAACCCTTTCAACCATACAATGGCTTTTGACTGTGAGGATGATGAGAGACTTTTTATGGATTCTTCATTCGATACAAGTTACCAACTGAGAAACGTCTGAAACCTTACGCAGGGAGGGGTGACTGATGGCATAGCAGCAACAACAAGATGTGATGTAACACACACTGTCCACCAGGGTTCACCAGGGTATCACTTTATGTTTTAACTCACTCAATACAGTAGTCTCACTGTTGGAGTTTATGCAAGTAGTCACCGCCTTTTTCCATGTTGTGCACCTTGAGGGTTGTTGAGGTAAATTGTAATGTCTTTTGTCTGTAATGTTTTCGTTATGTGTCGGACCCCAGTAAGACTAGCTGTCGCCATTGGCATCGGCTAATGGCCATCCTAATCAAAAATAAAACAAATATTAATAAATCAAAATAATTAAAGATTATGGATTCAACACATTTACTCCCGTTTAGCAAAGTCATTTATCATTGGCAGCACAGACAGTTATCCAGCCTTATTTGTGAGAAGAATTGTATGTGATGATGGAAGATGCACTGGACAGATTTAAGTGAATAGAAAGACACTGTTAACATGAATTGATAATTCAATTGATTACGACAAATACTCCATGTGCAGGGTTAGGATGACATTTTGATGGTTTTCTTTTATTTATTGGGTTGATTCAACTGATATGGTACCAGCTGGTACTGTACCAGCAAGTTGAGGCCCACAACTTGGGAGTCAATGTGGAGACAACGTTACTATGTATGTGGTGGTTGTGTGTTTGCTGGGAGGTCAAGTGGTTCATGTAATGGTTCACATTGTTTTCCTGATTGTGGATGACTAAAACAAAGCAGGCAGCCGTACAGGCTGAATAGCAGAGTTGGCTTTGACCAGATTACATTTCTTTCTGGGTTCTGTTTTGTCCCTTTAGAGTTGTTGTGTCCAGGAGTCTGGTGAAGAGCATCTGCTAAATGACTAAAATGTAAATGCTAGAATTACATCAATTACTGGTTGGAAGTAGGTCTTAATGAGGTCATTTCAACCAGTTTTAACCAGTTTTGCCCGCTGGGAGGTATAACCGGAGGACATCAAAGAAGATGGAAAAGTGCTCCTAGAAGGATTTATCTAAAATAGAATAATAATGAATATTTAACGGAAGCCCCTAATGTTATGTTTCTTGTTTTTCCACCATGTGGAGTAAATAGATGTTTTATCATTTTCTAATAGCAATATATTGAAAATCAATTTGTAAAAAAGTGTAAATATGAAAAAAAGCTTCTTCGTATATCCCTTTGGACATATGGGTGTTTCTGTGTATTGTCAAATAAGATTGATGTTATACGGTTGGTGTTAGCCTTCAAAATACATCACAGAACACATTTTTGTTTTATTTTATTTCTAATGTGTATTTCTTGTAAAATACTGACTGTCCAAATCTGCGTTACTCAAAAGGTTGTTTTTGGTTACCTTTTTACTCTACAATGCTAGTTTAATTTATTTCAAGACATTTATGATGCCCGGCAGAACACAAAAGAGTCCCCCTCCTAATCCAATGCTATTCTGACCTAGACTGGTTAAACCAAACAGTAGTGAGTGTAGCGTTCAGTCGGATGTAACCAGGTTCATTCAGACCTACGCCTGTTATAGCTAGTAAGTGTACTATGTGATTGCCTTTACTGTAACTTTTAGTCATGTCATCGTGTTTGACCTTTCACCTGAAGATTTAACCTTTAACCTTTGGCATGAATCCCAACAACGTTATCACACTTCCATGATATATTGCTGTAACGTCCTCCTATGTTTCCTCCTGACTTGCACACCAACAACAAATAGTTTTGTGTAACTATAATTGTTTTGCCCCTGCCCATCTCAAGGAGAAACATTTTAGTGTATTATTTTCACTTTATGACAATGGTGATAGAATTACCTCACATTTTATTACTTATTTCCAAATCAGTATATTCAAAATGAGTCACAACCAATGACAAAATACAATTTTTATCCTTGATATAATCAAAAACTATGGTAAATGTATTTCAACTTTACTTTTTTGTCCTGGGTGCATTTGAGCCTTACTGGTCCTTTAAAAATAATTCACAAATACAAATAACCGTTTTTTCTGTCTGTATTTTATTCACTGCATAGGACACTGAATATGCAAACATGCCATGTACATTCCCCATCCAAAGATTTTAAGAATAAATATATAAAAAGTTAATATAATGTAATACCTGTTTTACTTGGTAATAAAGAATGGGAGAATATTGGAAATTAAAATGGATGTCTTTATTATTTTTTACAATGCAATGTTACAGGCGCAGATGAATATACACTACTCTTTTGGATAGGCTATTGAATGTGCATTGCGTTGTTGTTGTTGTTGTTGTTTTTGTCAGTTGTATTGCGCGCGCCAAACTGTACAGGGTCCTTTTAAAGACCTATGAATGCAGTTGGTGCAGGATAGGAAACCCCTCCTCCAAAACGGACGGTTGTCAGGACAACACAATGCGCTGAATCGCTACAATGTTTCCGCTTTGACTCGTGGAATTCTGAATAGGTAAGAGTGTTGTTATTTTGAGCTGAACAAAAATGGTTAAATGTTTCTGCTTGTAGGACTTTGTAATACACATGTTACAACATTCTGCTGCTGTCGTGTAGCTTTGCTAACAGGGTGAAACGTTGCACTTGGGGTTTATTCATTACGCCGATTATGTTGCAAAACATTTCGTCTGTTGCAAAACGTTTTGCAACAGAAACCGTTTACGCCAAACGGAAAATGTTTTGCAACGAAACGAGAGTTTATGGGTGTGTTCGTAAAGTCAATCTGGAGTGCCAGAGTGCGCACTGGGCGTTCGTAAATTCAGAGCATTATCAGATTGTCCGTTCGTAAATTCAGAGCGTTTCGGCTCTCGGAGCGTTCAGAGCGCTGGCCGAGGAGTAGGGTTGAACCTAGCGTTCTGACCTCACAATCATTGACACTCTTACTGACAGTTGTGGCTGTTTCGCGTGATGTATTGTTGTCTCTACCTTCTTGCACTTTGTGCTGTTGTCTGTGCCCAATAATGTTTGTACCATGTTGTGCTGCTGCCATGTTGTTGTCATGTTGTGTTGCTGCCATGTTGTTGTCATGTTGTGTTGCTGCCATGTTGTTGTCATGTTGTGTTGGTACCATGCTATGTTGTTGCCTTAGGTCTCTCTTTATGTAGTGTTGTGGTGTCTCTCTTGTCGTGATGTGTGTTTTGTCCTATATTTTTTATTTTATTTTGTATTTTTAATCCCAGCCCCGTCCCAGCAGGATGCCTTTTGCCTTTTGGTAGGCCATTGTAAATAAGAATTTGTTCTTAACTGACTTGCCTAGTTAAATTAAGGTTAAATAAATAAAATAAAACAACGGCAGTCAAGTACCCAAGCTAACTGGCTAACGTTGGCTAGCTTGCAAGCTACTTCCAGACATAAATGAGAGAACACCTCATTCTGACCATTTTACTCGCCCTAGCAGAGTTGGTTAGGCTGTTTTCATGTTATCAAGAGCGTTGGTGACTGTAATTGTGCTGCTAGCAACAATTTAATTACGCTTTTTTTGCCTACGTTTACTGACACCGGCCACATTCAACGGGTGCTCTGGCACACTCAGACGAGAGTGCTCTGAAATTGGAGTAGATGGCCAGAGTGAATTTAAGAACACAGCCTAAATGGTTAAACGGTTTCCGTTGCAAGTCATTATGAATGCACTCTCCTGCTCAAATGTGAATGAACGTTCTCCCAGTTGTAGTTGTTTCACATGGTCGAGCAACTGAGCAAGTTTTCACATTTTGGGAGAAACAATTCGCCAAGTAGGCACAACAATAGGCCTATATTGCCCTGTTCAGTGCATTATGCATTCAATTACCTTTTTGAAACCTTCAAGAGGAGACTGATAGAATTCTCACAATGTCTCATTTAGGCCTATAGCTACTATACTATTTACTTAGTTGGAACTGATAAATGTCTTGTGTGTGTTATTATTTATCTGTTTGTGTTGACATGGTTACCATCAACTACACTATAAGATACACAAATCGTTTTAGCTTTGAATGTGTTTAGGTGCCTAATACAAAGCTTTCCCCCTATAATGATTAGCTAGACAACAGGCAGAGTAATGTCTGATTTAGCAAAAGAAAAGGCAGCTCGTCTTCTGAAGAAGAGAGGTAGTGTGTCATCTCTTGGCAGCCATGATGTCAGAGCCAAGGAAACAAGGGACAAGACCAAGGAGTGAGTACTGTTCTGAAGTTAAGCATTTAGCTCAAATTATTGAAGAATTTCAGACTTCATTTATTTATCCAGATCAATTAGTTATTTTATTTTCTCTGATGGAAGATTTGCCTTTATGATATTAAAGTTACATTCAAATGCTTGAGGTAGAAGTTGCCCTAGCCACAGATCTAGGATCAGATCAGTAGATGCCATACTCCCAATCCTAACCCAATACAACCATTAGGGAGATGGACAAATATCTGACCCTGTATCAGTGGTTGAGGACAACTTCTCAAACACATACCTTTTGGTGTTCTTCCACTGAATCTGAATACATATGGATCTTGACTTGCAGTTCTATAAGCACCGTATCCTATATCGATGAGCCTGGTCACCATGACGATAACCCTCGACCCGCAGTACAGATGGAGAACACCTTCCAATTGGGTGAGGCCTTTATTTTCACCACATGGTAACCAGTGCTAGCCTGGCCCCAGATCTCTCTCTGTTTGACGTGACAATGACCACAGTTGGTAAGACAACACAAACAGACCTGGGATCAGGCTAATAATGACATTCTTATTTGAAGGAGTGGTTAGTTGGGCTACTATAGCCTTACATTACCATACGGCCAAGTCTTGTTCATCACTCGGCGAGGAAGCCTGGATGCTACTTGGATTATAATTGAGTAATTCCATTGTGGTTACTCAGTAACTACATCGCATTGGTGTAACATTATGTGAAACGTTATGCCCCCCTCTTGAATAGCACCATATCGACGCTTCCCTGTTCTCACGGTCAATGACATCCTGAAGGATGTGCTCGCAAGTTACCTGCAAGAGGAGAAGTATGAAGCTGAGCTCTGTCGGCAGATGACAAAGACCATATCCGAGGTAATATTGATTGTCATTAAAGAATGCCTTTGCTTATGCAGAGCAAATCATGAAATGATTCAAGAGTTATTATTTTATTATTATTTCAGACGAGATTGGTATCTGTACAATTTGAGGTACCTGGTAGCCTAGATGCCAGACTGCTTCTACATTCACCTTACCCTATATCATTGCCCTAGCCTGGTCCCAGATCTGTTTGCTATCTTGCCAATTCCTATGGTCATATCGTAGCAAGCTAATATCGTTGCCCTACCATAATGTCAAATTGGCTTAACATATTGTCAGGCACACAGGCTAACAGTCTTGCATCTTTTGGCTTCAATTTCCAAGGAGTTGTTTATTGTCATGTATGGTTGATCTTAACATTGAAATAGAAATAGCTTCACCAACAGCTCTCTGATTCACCTTACAGTGTACATGGCCACAGTCATGCCACAAAAAAACGCCCGATTGCCAAAAAGTGACCGGCTGAGAGTTGAATGGCTGCTAGCGTTCCCTTTCTCCCTTTCAGTCTGTGCCTCTTCCTTGTCCTGTAGGTGATCAAAGCCAGGGTGAAGGATCTGATGGTTCCCCGCTATAAGATCATTGTTCTAATCAGCATCGGACAGCTCAGTGACCAGAACATGCGCATCGGGAGCCGCTGCCTGTGGGACGCCTCCAACGATACCTTCTCCTCGCACACCTTCAAGAACAGCTCTCTCTTCGCCGTGGCCAACGTCTACGCTGTTTACTTTGAGTGAGTCGCCGACCACAGTCACAGATGACTGCCTTGCACTGTGGGTACTCACGTCCTATATAGTCCTATGTAGTCCGTCATAAGGGCTACATAACAGTGTTACAAGCATGACATAATTGATTTGGTAAAAAGTAATGACTGTTGGTGTCAGTTTATGACAACGGTGATGACACAAATAATGTTTTGATCAGTTAATTGGGCAGGTTTAAAGCTAGCCAACTGGCTTGTGTCGTGACAGTGTGACGTCGATTGCCACAAAGGGACACCAGCTGTAATGTCATTGTCATGACAGTCTTATAAAACCCTTATGACCGAGCGTTCAAGTCAAGTGTAACCAAATTGCCTATGTTCAATTTCTGTGTTCATACCACAGAATGTGGGTATTCTAAAGTGTCTATCATGTGTATGATGTTCATTTGCATATCATGGAGAATGGTTGTGTGGAAGTGCTGTGAAACCTTCAAATGAAGGTCATGCCTAGAGCATTGGGGTTTTTGTCAAACAAACGTATCAAGGAAGTATCATCGGCAATAAGAATATAGTCTCAGGTAAAAGGAAATAAGTTCATACCGTAGTCTGAATATCTTTCTTGAAATTATTAATTTTGGTTACATATGTTATTGTCTGTATAATAATGTACCAATTCTGTATAATACAGCATTTCCTGATCATTTAAATCTCAAATAGCTTTTGGAATCACTGTGGCACATCGTCACACACTGTCTTCTAGCATATTTTGAATATTGCTCTCAGATTTTGGAGGGCATGTTTGATATTTTTAGGAAACTTAGACTAAAGAAATAGTCTAAGTTTCATCCCGAGAGGCAAAGTCTGTACAGTTCTCATACAGACCTCATTCAGCGGAAATGTTATTGAACTGATGACTCATGGGTTTTCAGTATCATAACTTGCTGAAATAATTTGCTGATCTTGTCACAACTCGCTGAATAGATTATCGATTTTGTACAGTTGTCCAGTCAAATGTCTACTTGCTGACTGTGACCCATTCGCTTTGGTTAGCTAAAATGCCCCATTGTACAACATGTATTGCCTCTTGTTGTATTAACCAAAGTCAGGTCAATGATAATAAAGCAATCTGAGGAGATATCACAGTGGTTACAAGTGCAGTGTTTATTGCTGATAAGATCAATGAGGGAATTGCATTGAAAGTCAAGATAAAAGTAAAATGAAAGTCATTGGAAGTAATGATATCTTTAGCTGACATCCATTGAAAGCCAACCAACTATATTGAATAAGGACTATTTTCTAACAAACATTAACGCCAAGTCGCCAATGTCTGCACATTGGCCCCTAGCACATGATTGTAAGGTCACTCTTCCGACAGCCCAGTTGACAGCACACGGTGGACAGGGCTTCGTTCAAGTCTCGTCGTCTCTGGTCCACCACAGGCTCGGCCCCCCAGGGTTTTAGACCATTCTGGTCCACCATTCCTGGACAACCAGAACACCGACTGTTATCAATGTTACGGAATATTTTCTAAACTGTTAATGTACGCAACCAGTGTCTGTTCTTGCTTCATTCTATTGGCAAACTATTATAAAACTTCACAAACATTTACAAACATGTAACCCAAATCATAGCTGCAGGTTGTATGATGATTTATCGTTCAAGTTTACATTATGGCATATGGCAAAATACATTGCTTGAGTGTTGAGTTATATTTCTAATCTTGTAACAGATGCTACTACTATGACACTGATTTTCAAATAATTAGTATGACCATAGAGATACAATATCATGGAGTTATGTGTAATTCCGTGATACTGACCATTTATGTCCTCTACTGGAAGCCTTCTCCACCTTGACCCTCCACAGGTGTACACCACGGCCCTCAGGAACTCCCGTCCACAGAGTCGCACAACGCTCACAGTCGCACCGTCCTCCATTCGAACCTCCCCTACACACAGCACACACAGCAGCAGCAGAGAGAACAACTGGGACTTCATGGTGGCTCTGTGGATCAAGATGCTGTAGATTGTGGATTCACTACACACCGTTTCTGTCTCTCTGAAGACACCTGTCTGGTCTCCCTTTTTATATAGGCTCTCTAGTTATGTCATGCTTTCCTAAAGTATTTTCAGGTGTGTCATACGTGCTGTGATGGTGACGTGCATCCTATCTGGTTAGCATCATCTGCAGATGATATTTAGTTTTTTGATAGTGGGTGAGTTTATTGCCATGCTCTGGTAAAGTGTTCCTTAATGAGGGTATCTTGATATAGATACAGATATAGATATCCGGCCATCGTAAAACAGATTCAGGCAATGGCCTTCCACATAGCAACATAGTGGTATTTGTGGCAATTTTCTCATCACAATGTCAACATTTCCCAGAAAGGACTTGACAGCATTTTTGGATCTCACGATATTTGGTCAGTTTTCTGAGTCACACATGTTTGCTCCTCAATTATGGTAAATTAAATGCAGGTAATTGTAGGCAATTACCTTTTCATAGCAATAAGAAACATAGGTAGAATTATAATCCCTTGAAATTATGACAACCACACTTCTGTGAAAAACGGTCCCCTTTACCACTATTTCACAGTTTTAGTTAAATCAAGTTTCAATAAAACAAAAGCAATAAACTTGTATTTCTCCTCCAAAAAGGTAACAGTCTATGTGAAACCGTTTGATGTATCAGTATAACATCAAATTATGGTCAGCTAATTTTGGTGATAGCTAACTTAGACTAACATCTGTAGCTTCAGTATTTTTCTGATACTCTCTCAGAAGAAGATTGTAAATCAAGATATTAACCCTAACCCCTACACTAACATAACCATTTTAAATTCCAATTTCAATGGGGGAAGGGACGTCCCAAGGATCCCAGATAGCACGACCCGCGGCGCAAGTCTATCCGGGAAATCGCTGACCCCCAATGTGACCCTACAGAATTTCAAACATGGCGGAGGTAGGACGCAAAGTCTAATAAATATTCGGGGAAAATAACTATGTTTTTAGGTTTATAGAGTTGATTCTGTCGGGTGCACATGCTCCAAATGAGAAGCGACAAATATTTACTAATATACGGAGAAGCGATATACATTTTAAAATATTAAACTTGTCTAATTTCCAGAAATTGTATTTTGCAAACTTCAGTTTAGCAATGATGCCTGGCTAGTTAGCTCGATGGCTATGCTAAGCTAGCTAGCTATGTAGCCTGTTGTTGGGGAAGCTTGGCTGACTACGAGCGTTAAAACGTTACCCACTCGAAAATATAAAAGTTCATATTTTAGAATGCTATTGCATTTTTTTTGACCTGGTGGTATTCTGCGTACTGAAAGCGACACTAGGTATCTAGCTAATTATGTGATTAGGTAACTAACGTTAACTGAGGCAGGGGGCTAGCAAATAGCTATCGTTCAAAGTGTCCACATTGTGAGAGAACAACCCATTTGTTTATCGCTCTCTTGAAATGCTTGATTTGACTTGTTTCAATTCTGGCCTGATCATCAGAGGTCTCCTTGTTAGAACCAAAAAAGCTACAGTCACTGATGTCTATTTTTAGCCAACAAGGAGCCAGTCGTAAGTTTCAGGCGCGCTTTTACTTTGACTTCCATCCACTACCCTACTAGCAGACAGATGATCAGTTTAATGTATCGTAGTTCCTATTTGCGTTTTTGTTCAGGCTTTTTGTCCGTAGACGACACTGGCCTCGTTCAGAAAACCGCATAATTCACTGAAAGTATATCTGAACCGAAAAGTTATAGCAAAGTTACAGCTATGTGTGTTGTATTTGTGTATCTGGTTCTGACTAATCTTGAGTGTTTTGTTTTAGCCCTCCGTTGGGAGTACGAGCCCAGGTAAATATTATTGTGTATTTTCTAATGGTTATGTGTACTTTTGAATCCCTCATTAGAACATTAACCTTTATGAAGTAAAAATGGACTGAACAAATCCCACTGTCATAATATTGTTAGTTATAAACCATGAAGCACTTTATCATCGACTATCTCCTCTTAAAATTTCGCGGTGTGTTTTTCCTCAGGAGGTTCAGCAGAGGACCATGAGTTTGATCCTTCAGCAGATATGCTCGTCCATGACTTTGACGATGAACGCACACTGGAAGAGGAGGAGAGGCTCGAGGGAGAGACCAACTTTAGCAATGAGATCGACGACCTTGCCCGGGTGCGTCTCAAAATCATTTCTTTTAGTGAATTGAAAGTTATCTCGGGTTGTATTCATGCACTGGAAGAAGATGGACTGAAACAGGGAGGGACTACCCGAATTTGTCCAAGATTAAGCACTTGTTTTTGTTTTACGTTGCAAAACCTTTTCATACCCTAATGACTATGGCCCTGGGAACAGTAATCTGTTAGTTATATATAAACTCAGTAAAAAGAAGAAGAAACATGCCAGGCGTTGTAGGGAGGTCATACAGGCACGTGGATGTATATACACTGCTAAAAAAAATAAAGGGAACACTTAAACAACACATCCTAGATCTGAATGAATGAAATAATCTTATTAAATACTTTTTTCTTTACATAGTTGAATGTGCTGACAACAAAATCACAAAAAAATTATCAATGGAAATCAAATGTATCAACCCATGGAGGTCTGGATTTGGAGTCACCCTCAAAATTAAAGTGGAAAACCACACTACAGGCTGATCCGACTTTGATGTAATGTCCTTAAAACAAGTCAAAATGAGGCTCAGTAGTGTGTGTGGCCTCCACGTGCCTGTATGACCTCCCTACAACGCCTGGGCATGCTCCTGATGAGGTGGCAGATGGTGTCCTGAGGGATCTCCTCCCACACCTGGACTAAAGCATCCGCCAACTCCTGGACAGTCTGTGGTGCAACGTGGCGTTGGTGGATGGAGCGAGACATGATGTCCCAGATGTGCTCAATTGGATTCAGGTCTGGGGAACGGGCGGTCCATAGCATCAATGCCTTCCTCTTGCAGGAACTGCTGACACACTCCAGCCACATGAGGTCTAGCATTGTCTTGCATTAGGAGGAACCCAGGGCCAACCGCACCAGCATATGGTCTCACAAGGGGTCTGAGGATCTCATCTCGGTACCTAATGGCAGTCAGGCTACCTCTGGCGAGCACATGGAGGGCTGTGCGGCCCCCCAAAGAAATGCCACCCCACACCATGACTGACCCACCGCCAAACCGGTCATGCTGGAGGATGTTGCAGGCAGCAGAACGTTCTCCACGGTGTCTCCAGACTCTGTCACGTCTGTCACGTGCTCAGTGTGAACCTGCTTTCATCTGTGAAGAGCACAGGGCGCCAGTGGCGAATTTGCCAATCTTGGTGTTCTCTGGCAAATGCCAAACGTCCTGCACGGTGTTGGGCTGTAAGCACAACCCCCACCTGTGGATGTCGGGCCCTCATACCACCCTCACGGAGTCTGTTTCTGACCGTTTGAGCAGACACATGCACATTTGTGGCCTGCTGGAGGTCATTTTGCAGGGCTCTGGCAGTGCTCCTCCGGCTCCTCCTTGCACAAAGGCGGAGGTAGCAGTCCTGCTGCTGGGTTGTTGCCCTCCTACGGCCTCCTCCACGTCTCCTGATGTACTGGCCTGTCTCCTGGTAGCGCCTCCATGCTCTGGACACTACGCTGACAGACACAGCAAACCTTCTTGCCACAGCTCGCATTGATGTGCCATCCTGGATGAGCTGCACTACCTGAGCCACTTGTGTGGGTTGTAGACTCCGTCTCATGCTACCACTAGAGTGAAAGCACCGCCAGCATTCAAAAGTGACCAAAACATCAGCCAGGAAGCATATGAACTGAGAAGTGGTCTGTGGTCACCACCTGCAAAACCAGTCCTTTATTGGGGGTGTGTTGCTAATTGCCTATAATTTCCACCTGTTGTCTATTCCATTTGCACAACAGCATGTGAAATTTATTGTCAATCAGTGTTGCTTCCTAAGTGGACAGATTAATTTCACAGAAGTGTGATTGACTTGGAGTTACATTGTGTTGTTTAAGTGTTCCCTTTATTTTTTTTGAGCAGTGTATATACTATTTCATCCCTATTCTTGCATAGTTTTACAAGTGATTTATGTTAGAAGGCAACACTTAAATATTGATAATATGAATCTAGTCTATTTTTAAGTGTAATCCACTGAATTCAGTGTGCAACAAAATATATATATATATTTTTTTCCATTTGTGCCATAGGAGGGAGAGATGCCCATTCATGAGTTGTTGAGTATGTACGGATGTGGCGGTGGTTCACCCGCAGATGAAGAGGAGGAGGAGGAAGACTTTGAGGATGAAGAGGAGTTGGAGGATGAGGAAGAGGAGGAGGAAGAGGATCTGGACAATGATGAAAGCAGTAGAAGCACTGGCGAGCTGAAGAGGAATAAGGTGAGTGCCATGAATCTCCTGAAATAACAGGATATCAACCAACACACTCATAAAGAAGGAATGCTTGTTGGCACCTTACTGCTCTAATTTGATTGTTATAAAGCACCACTACATATTCTACAACCAACATGGTTGACATATTCAGTCAGAAATGTATAGTTACAAATCTTCTGATGATAGATGCATCTAGTGAGCGTTGATGCTGATGTCACTGTTTCATATATGAGTAATGAATGTTGATTTTGTTGTTTCAAAGGGTAGGATGTCCAATAAAAAAACGCATATTTTGACCAAATGGGTAAAATAATGTTAATTATGTAGATACTCTATGAAAACCAACGGTCCAAACCTCATGTCTCTATCATAATCCGGTCAAAAGTGATTGGAGTTTTTAGCCTTGTAGGATGGCCAGAATTAGGGTGACTAAATCAAAGGAGGCCAGAGAAACAGCGGTCAAACATCAGGAAAATAGCATTGCGTCAGCTTGGCTGGATGCTGTACGACAATTAAGGCTAACTGACAGACTCACCGTTGAACTCGTCATCTTTCTTCCCAAATCCAGAGGTAAGATGGATATCGATTTTGAGACATGACATGTAGTATTTTCATATTTTAGTATACTTTTTGTTGTTTTTTTCTCTCACAAAAACAAGCGTAGCTCTGAAATGTCAACGGAGCACTGAGCGT